GAGACCGGATATAGTGAATGCAGGGTCCGGGGAGACCAGATATAGTGAATGCAGGGTCCGGGGAGACCGGATATAGTGAATGCGGGTCTGGGGAGAGCGGATATAGTGAATGCGGGGTCCGGGGAGAGCGGTTATAGTGAATGCGGGGTCCGGGGAGAGCGGTTATAGTGAATGCGGGGTCCGGGGAGAGCGGTTATAGTGAATGCGGGGTCCGGGGAGAGCGGATATAGTGATTGCGGGGTTCGGGGAGAGCGGATAGAGTGAATGCAGGGTCCGAGGGAGAGCAGATATAGTGAATGCAGGGTCCGGGGGAGACCGGATATAGTGAATGCAGGGTCCGGGGGAGACCGGATATAGTGAATGCGGGGTCCAGGGAGACCGGATATAGTGAATGCGGGGTCCGGGGGAGACCGGATATAGTGAATGCGGGGTCCGGGGAGAGCGGTTATAGTGAATGCGGGGTCCGGGGAGAGCGGTTATAGTGAATGCGGGGTCCGGGGAGAGCGGTTATAGTGAATGCGGGGTCCGGGGAGAGCGGATATAGTGATTGCGGGGTTCGGGGAGAGCGGATAGAGTGAATGCGGGGTCCGAGGGAGAGCAGATATAGTGAATGCAGGGTCCGGGGGAGACCGGATATAGTGAATGCAGGGTCCGGGGGAGACCGGATATAGTGAATGCAGGGTCCGGGGGAGACCGGATATAGTGAATGCGGGGTCCGGGGGAGAGCGGATATAGTGAATGCGGGGTCCGGGGGAGAGCGGATATAGTGAATGCGGGGTCCGGGGAGACCGGATATAGTGAATGCGGGGTCCGGGGAGAGCGGATATAGTGAATGCGGGGTCCGGGGAGAGCGGATATAGTGAATGCGGGGTCCGGGGAGAGCGGATATAGTGAATGCGGGGTCCGGGGAGAGCGGTTATAGTGAATGCGGGGTCCGGGGAGAGCGGTTATAGTGAATGCGGGGTCCGGGGAGAGCGGTTATAGTGATTGCGGGGTTCGGGGAGAGCGGATAGAGTGAATGCAGGGTCCGAGGGAGACCGGATATAGTGCATGCGGGGTCCGGGGGAGAGCGGATATAGTGAATGCGGGGTCCGGGGGAGAGCGGATATAGTGAATGCGGGGTCCGGGGGAGAGCGGATATAGTGAATGCGGGGTCCGGGGGAGACCGGATATAGTGAATGCGGGGTCCGGGGGGAGACCGGATATAGTGAATGCGGGGTCCGGGGAGAGCGGATATAGTGAATGCGGGGTCCGGGGAGAGCGGATATAGTGAATGCGGGGTTTCGGGGGAGAGCGGATATAGTGAATGCGGGGTCTGGGGGAGAGCGGATATAGTGAATGCGGGGTCCGGGGGAGAGCGGATATAGTGAATGCGGGGTTTCGGGGGAGAGCGGATATAGTGAATGCGGGGTCCGGGGGAGAGCGGATATAGTGAATGCAGGGTCCGGGGGAGAGCGGATATAGTGAATGCGGGGTTTCGGGGGAGAGCGGATATAGTGAATGCGGGGTCCGGGGGAGAGCGGATATAGTGAATGCGGGGTTTCGGGGGAGAGCGGATATAGTGAATGCGGGGTCCGGGGGAGAGCGGATATAGTGAATGCAGGGTTTCGGGGGAGAGCGGATATAGTGAATGCGGGGTTTCGGGGGAGAGCGGATATAGTGAATGCGGGGTTTCGGGGGAGAGCGGATATAGTGAATGCAGCGTCCTGGGTTTGGTAACACTTTAAGGATGTTTAATATTGAGCACCTAGCAATTGGCCAGCGTCACATGATATACTACATTTATTTTCACTAGTTTGATATTTATTACTGAATTTACAGTATAACCTGAATTAAAGTATAACTAAAGGCAAAACTTTTTCTTTAGTTCTAGATATAGAGATGCATTAGAACCTCTGTCAGGTTTTTATTGCTCTGTGTCCCCGTTAGGGAGATTCACCCTCTCTATTTGTCCTGTTTACCATTATCATAGAAAGTGAATTTTGACTTGCCACCAGAATAGGAGAGGGAATCTTCCAGTGGAAACACTAGTTCTGGTGACAACCAGGGATTCCCCCACTTTGGACCGATTTCCTCTCACCTCCTGTTTTTGGATCTGGGACAGGAAGTGAAGGAAAATCTCTCCAATGCGACAGATGCAAAAAAAAAAAAAATAAACCTGCCGGTTATATTCCTCCTTTACTTTATGCATAATGGGGGGAAAAAAACGTTTTGCCTCCAGCCCTACTTTAAGCAGGAGGAGTTTAACTTCATCCTTTTGGCCTGACATCCAATCACTGTCAAAATCTTGCTGCATTCACCTCCACAACATTTTCAGAATTCGTCCCTTCTTACCCAGTGACACCACCAAGCTACTAATTCTCTCCCTTGTTATCGCTCAATTGACTACTGCAACCTCTTCTTATTGGCTGACCTCAACAGGCTATCCCCTCTTTAGTCAATCGTGAATGCCACTGCTGGGCAACCACTAGGTGCCCACCACCCTCTTTGTCAATCCATCCGCTGCCTACCAGTCACCCAACAAATACAATTCAAAATCTTAACCTACAAAGCCGTCCACAACTCGGCTGCTTTGCCCTCATAAACTGCTATGAGTACCACCGGTATCCAACACTTCTGGGTGTGTCAGGCACCTGATTCTCTGATGGGCATTGTGGTTCCTCTCACTGGCCGCTGCTACCTGTAGTTCTTCAGGACTATAGCTTTGACTTGCTCCTACTCTCCTATTTAGAGGGAGCTTTGTGCTTTCATTTTCTTTTTACTGTAGACATAGATCAGTTTTAAAAAAGGAGTATGAACTTAGCTTTTTTTGATCATACTTTTGTTGTGGGTCACAGACGTGCACTTCTATTCTCCTGTGACCAAGAGTCAGCTAATTGTGGGCTATCAGATGATGTCAGAACCGCTCCAGGCCCTGGAAGGATCCTGAGCTTATTGTTGGGATCCACCCAGAGTCCTGATTGACAGCTTCTCTCCGCTCTGAGAACTGAGTGATCTGTAGTCATGTGATTGCTCAGTTCTGTCGGAAGGGGGCAGCCGCAGCATCAGAATGATGCTGCAGCATGGAGGTGAGTATGTAGGTGTGTTTTTTTTTTTTTGTTTGTTTGTTTTTTGTGTAGCCCAAATGTTTCCTTTTTAGAGGTGTACTGTAACAGTGGACCAATATGTAATCAACATCAGCACACTTGAATTGTTCTAATCCTGGAGCCTTACCTTTCATGGATTACTTGGTTTGTACACGCTGCTCGTGAGAGCACATGTCAGGGTATGTGGCTGTCTTATGTCTTGCTCAGTGTGGATTAGACATTCAAAAAACTTGTGTTTGCACTATCAGCATTACAGAAAAAACACAAAGGGGTCTATTAATAATATTAACTGAACAAATGTCTCAAACATTGGTGTAGACCTGACAGATTTCCCCCTTATTCCTGTAAGAGCAATTCCTATGATCGTCCGCTCCATCTAGTGTCCAGAAATATTGTACTTTTGCTCAATGAGTTATTTCAGAACACTGTACTGTATTTTGCCCACTAGATGGGGCTGAAGATTATAGGAAATCTAATAGGGAAAATATGGGGAAAATTCATCCAGCCTGCACAAATGTGTGATCATTCATCCAACAAATGTTTAATAGACTCCTAAGACTCCATGTACATGGGACACTTCTGATTGATGGAAACTGACTGCTGGAAAACGTAGGTTAAAAACCATCTGTTTAGCCACGTTTGCATACCGCGTTTATGAGCGTTTGCGTTTAGAAGCGTTTTTTAAAGATAACCTCAGGAGACCTTCCAAAATGCCTAGAATGCACTGAAAAAGTTAAAAATTAACTATCTCCTAGATTGTAAGCTCCAAAGAGCAGGGCCCTCAATCCCCTCATGTTTTTTGCATTGTATTGGTATTGTTCTGTCACATGTTCTGTCCCCCTTTGTAATGTACAGCGCTGAGCGAACTATTGGCGCTTTATAAATACTGTATAATAATAATATTTCAGACATTTTGAGAGAGAGAGCAGAAGCAGAGAGAGCAGTATTTGTTGAGATTAGTTTTTTTTTTTTTTTTGTGGTGTTTGGATGTGTTCCGGCTCATTTCTGTGCAGAAATTATTGCAGCAATGTCTAACATATTTTCTTGCATGCTAAACCTCAAAGGTGTGTTAGATCCATTTTGAGTACTGGGAAAAAGCTTTGCATGCATTTTTTCATGATGGAAAAAAGGCTCTGGACAGCATCTGGGAATGGAACAGTTAAAAAAAAAAAAAATTCCAAACGCTTATAAATGCGGTTAGCCGCGTTTACAAGCATTTGGCGTTTGAAACCCTGATAAAATCTCCTGAACGCAAGTTTGGTGCATTAAAAAAAACCCACTGTAAACTCAACTGTCTGTAAACGATGATGTGTACATGGACACATAGGAAAACATTAGGGAGAGTTCAGGGGCTGTTGAAAAAAAACACAGAAAAGCTCCTAAACGTGAGTTTATCAACTGCAGTGTACATGGAACCTAAAGGTTTTTTTTTTTGTTTTTTTTTTTTAAGGCTACAGTCACGCTTGAACGCGCCAATGGGTGACTTCGTATAATTTCAAAAATATCACTTTGTGGTCGATTTAATCATTCAGTAAATTTAGATTTGTAATCGAGTTTGGAAAATGAGCATTCTTTATACTGTTCTCTTATCTCAGTCTCAATTCTTTCTTCTGTTAACCTCTAGTGTTCCAAGGATGGGTCTTCTGTGGAATACAATGGGAGGCGAAAGCACAGTTCTGCTGATAACGAGCATGCATATGTGCAGGTAGGTTGTTGCATTAAATGCGTGCAGTGTGGCTTCATTAATCAATTAATACCCATGCGGAAAAATAATAAAGAATTAGCCACACTAAACTAGTTTTCTAAAAATCATTTTAAATTTTTTTTTTAGACTAGCCCCAGCTCTATGCTTGTACATTACAGTGTGTCTGAAATATCACTATGGAGACTAGAATGGATCCTTGATAACCTCCCATGTAGCCTTCTTGTGGGTAATGGTTTGCAACTGGATCAGGATGTCCGCTTTCTGGTAGCCCTAAAAATGAATTGCTCAGCTAAGCAAACCAGCTATATCTGTCATGCTCAGTGTGTTGCTTCCTATTCATGTTGTAGCTTGCTCCTTCCAATTCTTTTGACTCTCCTTTAGCCATTAAATGTGATGGGCAGCCTCTCTGGCCTTGTATATAGAATTAAGTAGAGCAAGAAGATAGGACTTCAAAGCTGCCATGGGAATTCCGGGTGATCTTTTCCTAGTAATGCTGCAGATGACCGATGTACCCAGCACCTTGCAAATAACCTATGTCCTGATCACAGGTGTGCTTCCTGTACTGTAGGGTGTGCCCGTCGGAGTGGCCCCCTGTACCGTCGGGTGTCCCTGTCGGAGTGGCCCCCCCCATACCCCGTCGGGTGTCCTTGTCGGAGTGGCCCCCCCCGTACCCCGTCGGGTGTCCTTGTCGGAGTGGCCCCCCCGTACCCCGTCGGGTGTCCTTGTCGGAGTGGCCCCCCCGTACCCCGTCGAGTGGCCCCCCGTACCCCGTCGGGTGTCCCTGTCGGAGTGGCCCCCCGTACCCCGTCGGGTGTCCCTGTCGGAGTGGCCCCCCGTACCCCGTCGGGTGTCCCTGTCGGAGTGGCCCCCCGTACCCCGTCGGGTGTCCCTGTTGGAGTGCACCTCCCCCAACCCCCCCCGTTTGCCGGGTGTCGCTGTCGGAGTGCCCCCCCGTATCGCTGGGTGTCCCTGTAGGAGTGGCTTCCCCCCCCCCCATACCGTCGGTTGTCCCTGTCGGAGTGGCGCCCCCCTCCCGTACCGTCGGGTGTCCGTCGGCGTGGCCGCCCCTCTCCCCCCTGTACCGTCGGGTGCTCCCTGTATTGTTGGCTGTCCATGTCGGAAGACTGGCCTCCATACTGGCAGGTGCCCCCTGTACCTTTGGGTGCCCCCTGTCAGAGTGCCTTCCATACCGTCGGGTGGCCCCCGTACCGTCAGGTGTCCCCGAACCGTTAAGCATCAGACAGACAGAAGATGGGAACATGGAGGCAGAGCAGGCTGCAGGACTGTGTGGAGTTCCACTTCCGTCCCCTTGTGATGCTGTAGGCATGGGGAAGCATTTGTTGACATTGGTGGTTAGGATGCTGGCTGTCCTAACAGCCAATCAGTTCAGTGTAGAGGAGGCTGGGGGAACCTGTGTGGGGGGGCGGGTTCACTGGTGGTCCAGATAGAACCGTCACACGGTCTAGACCATGATCTGCTATTTAGTGGTGCTTGGAAAAATGGAATAAGTGCATGAGAGGAATTGCTTGTTTGTTAATTGGCATCCTAATTTGTGTTTTGCAAAGAATAAATCTCTGCCTGAGTTTATCAGTGAGCGGCTGCAATGCTTCGAAAAACTGAGAGAAAGACATGAAGCCAGACTGGCAGAAAAGGTGGAGAAGGAGACTCGTCCAATCCGGATCTCCATACTGGATGGGACTGTGGTGAGCGGGCACTCCTGGAGAACAACTCCCTATGACGTGGCTGTACAGACTAGGTGAATCTCCCTTCTTAAAAAAAAAAAAAAAAAAAACGCTTTTTTTCTGAATATTCAAGTCTTAAATTTAAAATTGGTAAAATTACTAAAGTTAAGTCAGTAAAGTAATTTTTAGGTTTTTTTTGTTTTTTTTTAACTTTGCATGGCTCTTCTGCTTGGTTCATGGGGTAAAAGGGATCTAAAGTCTGAGTTGCTGCCTGGTTAGCAACTGATCTCATCTAAAGTCTTGCAACTTCTGAGTCTGCAGAAAAAAAGAGCACTGTAGTTTTGACGAATAAAGCAAACCAACCAGGAGCTCTGTTGTCGGATGCTGTTATGCAAACTAGGAAGCTGGGATTCCGCAATAATGTCAGTCAGTCACAAAATACCGGCTGTCAGACTTCAGGCATCCTCTAACCCCAACTCTTAAACTGAAGAGACATATTCAAAGTAAGTAAACCTGAATAACGGGGCGATGATACTTTTTTGCACAAATATGATTAAAATGGAAATTTCAGCTTCTTACTTTAGTCCAATTGTGCTGCAAATTGAAATTTTAAATGATCCATCTGTTCTTTTCTCAGGCCAAGCTCAATACATAATATCTTAGGGGCCCGAGTGAATGGATCGCTTTATGATCTGAGCAGACCCCTGGAAGCAGACTCGGATGTTGAGTTCCTCATGTTCGATTCTCGCGAAGGGCAGGATGTAAGTTCATTGGTCAGATAATCGGTGTCTTAGTATTGGGTTCCTTAATACACCGGGGAACCCCTTAATAATTCCTGATTACATTTACACATACAAGAGAACGAGTTTGTGTTGCGATTTCTTCCTCTTCTCTCCCTTCATGCGTGTTAATGTGAGCGAGTCTGAAAGCAGGCAGTGTCTGCTATACTTTATAAAAAGTCCTTTGTGCTCTTAGAATCCTTTGTTGTGTGTGTATGTATATGTGTGTGTATGTGTGTAAATGCACACGCACACACTTGCTAATCAGCCAATCACTTGGCAGCAACTCAATGCATTTAGGCATCTAGATGTGGTGAAGACGACTTGCTGACGTTTCAACTGAGCATCAGAATGGGGAAGAAAGGGGATTTAGGTGATTTTGAATGTGCCTTGGTTGTTGGTGCCAGACTGGCTGGTCTGAGTATTTCAAAAACTGCTGATCTACTGGGATTTTCACGCTCAACCATCTCTAGAGAAATCGATACTCATCAGACCAAGCAACGTTTTTCCAATCTCCTATTGTCCAATTTTTGGTGAGCCTGTGCAAATTGTAGCCTCCGTTTCCTATTCTTAGCTGACAGGAGTGACATAGGATGTGGTCTGCTGCTGCTGTAGCCCATCTTCTTCAAGGTTCGATGTGTTGTGCGTTCAGAGAATCATATTCTGCATACCTTGTTTGCAACGAGTGGTTATTTGAGTTACCTTGTCTTTCTATAATCTTGAAACAGTCTGCACATTCTCCTCTGACCTCTAAAACCAACAAGACATTTTCATCCACACAACTGCTGCTCGATATTTTCTCTTTTTCTGACCATTCTCCGTAAATCCAAGAGATGATTGTGCATGAAAATCCCAATAGATCAGCAGTTTTTGAAATACTCAGACCAGCCTGTCTGATACGGACAACCATGCCATGGTCAACGTCACTTAAATCCCTATTCGGTTAAACTTCAGCAAATCGTCTTCACCACATCTAGATGCCTAAATGCATTGAGTTGCTGCCATGTGATTGGCTGATTAGCAATTTGTGTTACCAAGCGATTGTACAGGTGTACATAATACGATGGCCAGTGAGTGTATTTTTTAATACACACATACTAAAACCTTCATAGTTTTCTCTTTAAATGTTAGCAGCCAAACTTGGTAACTGTGAATAAGTAAGAGTCCTTCCAACTTTCTCTTTTATTGTAGATATTTTGGCATTCCAGTGCCCATGTCCTCGGGGCAGCTCTGGAGCAGTTCTACGGAGGCCTCTTGTGTCATGGGCCCAGCACAGAAAATGGCTTTTTCTACGACATCCACCTGTCCAGCAGGTAAAAACCATCTGTGTCTGGTGTGTTCACAATTCCTGTATATACAGTATCATGCGTGTTAATTGTTCAACCAGCTTTGCTGCCGGAGTGTTTTGTAGTTTTGCTCAGGGGCGGACTGACAACTCATGGGGCCCCCGGGCAATACGGGATCATGGGGCCCCTGTGTCCTTGCCCAAACTCAAAAAAGCCTATGAAAAAGGTACCAGGGGCATCTCATGGGCCCCCTACTGACCCTGGGCTCCAAATGGTCAGTCCGCCCCTGGTTTTGGTCAATTTGTACCAAAACTCCATAGTTTGACTGCTTTCTGCCTGACCTATAATAAAATGATGGCTGGGCGAGAGCTCTCCTGTTTTGGCTGGACATCATATGACCTCCTTCCCAGAACACGCCTTGCTCATGCCCCACGGGCCGCACTGTGCTGCGATCTGTCACCAGATATGTCCACCGTCCATCCATTGTGTTGATCTGTGATTGATCACAGTGATCACATGGTACAGGCAGGGTGCAATCACAGCCCATCTGTACCATGTGAGTAGCTGTGGACAATCCCAATAGTACACACTGAATCAATTTCATTCAGAAAAAAAATTGTCTATAACAATTATTTTCAATCTTTTAAGAGGCCATAGTGTGTGTATAAAAAAATAAAAATCCTGATCACTTCCCTTCCCCAGTACATTGTTACTATGGTAATACTGTGTTGCTCTTGTCACTGTATGCAAAATAAAATCTTAAAAAAGAAACTAATAAAGAAAAAATATAACATTTTGGGTTTTTTTTGTTTTGTTTTACATACGGTCACCAGAGAGTGTCCCTGATCACCCCCCACACACCAGTTATAAGATTATGCTGTACTGTACTGCACTGGTGACTGTATGTAAAAAAAAAAAAAAAAAAAACTTTTAAAAAAAAAAGTGAGAAAAAAACTATTTTTAAAAAATGTCTTAATTGGCAAAAAAACTTGTGATAACTTACAACTCCAAGAAACTCGCCATGCCTCTTACTAAATACCTTTTGACTGTCTAGTTTCCAAAAATGGGTTATTTGGGGGGTATTTGTACTGTCCTGACATTTTCAGGCCTTAAGAAATGAGGCCATCAGTACATGAGAATTGATTGCTTTTCAGATATATATCATAGTTTGTGGACTTTCCTACAGACTGAATAGTAAACACTGATTTGGGTTATTTCATCAAAGAAATGTGGAAGAATACATTTTGGCCTAAATGTATGCAGAAAGATTATTTATTTGCAAAATGTTATAACCAAAATGAATAAAAAAAAAGTGGTCTTTTTTTGCTTATTTAGCAAAAAATAAAAAAACCCAATGGTGATTAAATACTACCATAAGAAAGGTCTATTTGTGTGAACATTTTTGGTTATAAACTAATTTGGGTTATTTTTTTTTATTTTTTTTTTTAACTAAAAAGATAGCGGAATACATTTTGGCCAAGATTTATGATGAAATATTTATTTGCAAAATTTTATAAGAAAAACACTTTTTTTCAAAATTTTTGGATATTTCATTTACATAGCAAAAAAAGAAAAATCCCAGTGGTGAATAAATACCACCAAAATAAAGCTTTATCTGTCTCAAAAAAAATGCTAAAAAATTCATATGGGTGCAGTGTTGCATGACCGTACAATTGCCATTAAAAGTGTGACAGTACTGAAAGCTGAAAATTGCCTGGGCAGGAAGGGGGGTGAAAGTGTCTGGTATTGAAGTGGATAAAAATGGAAAGGATCGTTTATTTGCAACAACATATTTGAAAATACAGACGTGGGATCTATATTAAATGCCAAAAAGACAAACTTTACTCAGTCCTGGGATTCTCCCCCCCAGCTTAGTGACCTGACTTTTCTCTGCTGCAGTTAAGCAGTACAGCTAGGTCACTTGTCTTCCCATCCTGTGGTTGGATAGTGAAGGAAGAGCAGAATACTGATTGGCTCATCTCTCTGCTCACTGGCTCCTTTGTCCTGTCACCGTGTTCTTTATCAGCAATTTTGATTGCAGCACACCTGATTCGGTCCTAGTAGTGCCCTTCCCTTTCCCAGTCTGAATGTTGCTATACAGGGAATTGCAGGATACCTAAATGAAGTCCAAGTCAGATACGTAAATTGGAGAGGTTTGTGAGTGAGACTCAGTAAGGAAGGCCATAGATATGCAACTTTCTTTTCTTCTACCGTGGGTGGAAGGAAAGAGTGTTGCTGAATTCCTCCATCAACACAGTCAGCGTTGATGGGTAATCCCTCCTGCAGTGCTACTGTACTGTGCTGGTGAGGAGCCTTTCCTGCTGGAAGAATACAGTGATCAGTGCTGGTGGTTATAGCCACCAAAAGCGAATGGACAAAAAAAAAAAAATGACAGGCTGGTTGTACTGAAGGTAGTTGAGAGATCGACTTTAGTACAACCAGCCTGGCAATGCACTGATTGAAATTTGGACCAGCTGAATATCGATCCTTCTAGTGCTGACTCAGTTGTGACCTCAGTAGACCACCATGAAGAGTCCAGGCCCTTCAAGGGATAGGCAGCTCATCTCACAGACAGGAGAATCACTTATGTCCATGAGAAGAAGATCGGAAATACGCTTTGTCCTTATGAAGTAAGTAATCATTATAGTAAGATTGTATAAAAACGTTCCTAAAGGTGTAAAGTAGTTAACCAGTTCTGAACTCCGATAGTTGGATTAGAAGAGACATGCCAGTCCAGGTCTATAAGGCTAACGTGTTTCCAAGGTCGTGCCCCCTAAGACGACATGGACCTGGAAATGTGTGAGAAGTATGCAGTGCTGGCTGCGGCTTTTTTTTTTTTTTTTCTCTTTGTAATTCTATATTTATCACAGATATACAGTCAGCAGATGAAACAGGAAATGGAACAATTAATATACTGCATTGTTTACATATTTTTTTTTACAGAAATGCTGATCTATAACAGGAAGTATATGAAGCACATTGATAAGAACTGAAATCTTTATGAATGTCTGTTATCCTAACAGTAAAGAAAAATATACAGTAGAAGAGAGCAAGGACAGGGAAGACCATGTGTGGCTGGTGACCATTTGTAATATTATTTTAATGTTGTATTTGGCCCATGAATGGGGCTTAGGCAGCATATAAAAATGGGGCAATGAAGGGTTGAGCCTTAGTGGGGCGTTCGATGATGCTGCTAATTTCGGATAGTGTTCACATGCTAGGCCTGCCCTCCAAGACTATTTAGGTTAGGGTTCAACCTCCAGGCAGCAGTGACTAGAAAATATTTGCTGCAATCCAGGAAAGCCAGGTCACCCTGAGCAGTGGGGTACATGGGGGTAGACCGTTTATATCTGGGAGTATGTGGACCCCAGAGAAAGGAGGAGAAAAGTTGATTAAGGTGAGTGGAGAAGGACTTGGGTGTGTGGGGGAGTGTGTCAAAATAAGTAGGTGAATTTGGGGAGGAATTTAATTAATTAATGCATCCAAGAAGGGGCAAAAGTAGGGACTCCCATAGCTTCAGTTTGAGATCTTGTAAAACTGGGGCTAAATTTAGGGGGATAAAGTCTGATGGGAAATGACAACCTCAAGATATTTGAAGGTCTCTACCCACTGTAGTTGAGTATCTGGAGAAGCCATAGTCTGGGCCTGAGGGTCAATAGGGAACAGTAGAGACTTAGCCCAGTTGACCCTGAGGTCGGTGATGGGAGAGAAGGAGATAAGGACCTGGCGGGGCACCTCTCAGTGACGGACCAGCATCATTCAATAACAGCAGGAGGTCATCCATGTACAGGGCCATTCTCTCCTCCAGCCAGCCAACAAGTAAGCCCTTAATATTCGGGAAGGTGCTGAGAGCCTACACTATGGGTTCTATAACTATGGCAAAAAGTGCTGGAGAGAGAGAGGGCAGCCCTGTTGAGTGTCTCTGGACAGGGAAAAAGAGGCCAATAAGCAACCACTTAAGCGTACTGCAGCTGTTGGACTGTTGTACAGTACCTTCAACCATGCAATGAATACCAAGGGAAAACCCTTCCGGCAAAGCACCTCCCATAGAGTTGGCGATATGTATCGTGTCGAAGGCCTTTTCAATATCTAATGAGGCCACTACTCCGGAACCCATGTTGGAGTGTGAAGTATGGATGTTCGTGTATAATCTGCGTAATTTATATCTGTAGTTCTGTGGGACATACAGTAAATCCTGTCTGGTCTGACTCAATAATGGTAGGCGGCATTAGTTGTAACCGTAAGACAAGTGATTTTGTTAAGTTTTTAAAGTCCGTAGTGAGGAGCACAATAGGCCTATAGGAGGCACAGGAGGTTGAGTCTTTAGGCGGTTTATAAATTAGCACTACATGGGCATGACTCATAGAGTGGGGTAATGTACCTGAGGATAAACATTGTGAGTAGTGAGGCCAGGAGTGGAGCAAGGAGGTCACTATGGGCCTTATAAAAGTCAATGGGGAGGTTGTCCGGACCCGTGGTCTTCCCTGTAGGGAAGGATTGGATAGCAACAGCAACCTCTTCAGGGATGATGGGGAGTACCAAGGCCTCCCGCTCTGCATCTGACAGACACCCAAGCGCTAGCTGGTCCAGTAAAGTAGTGAGGAAGCATGTAGTGTGCTATAAAATTGACTGAAATCTTCCAAAATGTCCGGTAAGGAGACTGACTCCCCTGAGTGAGGGGTTTGTTCCTCGGAGATTGTGAGAGGCTGGTCGTGTTGGGCCAGCATCGCCAAGAACCTCCCATTACGATCTCCCTGCTCAAAAAAACATCTGCTTATTTTTAATGAGATCCAAACTAGTGACCTCTGTTAGGCGGAGATGGAGTTCTCTTTTAACCATAGAAAGCAGGTCAAAATTGATCTCAGATGGGTCAGCTGCATATTGTGCAGTGTGGACATCTGATTCCTGGAGGGTGGACAGCAGCATTCTTAATCTGGGGGAGAGGAGTGTTGGATGCACTAGCAGATTTAGATACACAAGCAAACTGAAGCTAAACTCCAGCTAACACTTTATAAACCGTTACAGATAAATGTTTATCCCAAAAGGGAAAAAAAACGGTTAACATAAATGCTGATCATTGTAAGCACCCTTATCATTGTTAAATGGTTTGTCTCAACACTCTTATCTGCAGGACAGCTTGTTCTGTTGAAAAATATACTTACTGGCCAGATCACCAGGTGAAAACAGAAAGAGTCTAAAGAAAACTAATGCAGCCATCACATCTAAGAATTGGTCAGCTGCAGTATATTAACCACTTCCTGTCCGGACACTTTCACCCCCTTCCTGTCCAGGGCAATTTTCAGCTTTCAGCGCTATCACACTTTGAATGACAATTGCGTGGTCATGCAACACTGTACCCATATGAATTTGTTACCATTTTTTTTGAGACAGATAAAGCTTTATTTTGGTGGTATTTATTCTCCGCTGGGATTTTTATTTTTTTTGCTATGTAAATGGAAATGTCAAAAAATTTTGAAAAAAAGTGTTTTTTTTTAATAAAATTTTGCAAATATATAATATTTGCAGTCATTGAGAAGTACTGAGTGAGCTATGATTGGTCACAGCTTGCAACATGGTACAAGGCTGTTGTGAATAGCCTTGTACCATGTGACCTCTGTGATCATTCACAGATTTCACTTGTAGTAAGCAATGATGTCACAAGTGACATCTTGCTTACTACTTTGCATGTGATCACTGATTGGGACCTCGTACAGAGGTCCTGTCCGACGATCGGTGTTTCACTGTGTCCGGAGGACACAGCGGGCACCGGATCGCGGTGCTGCGCACTCCCAGGGAGCGCGCACAGCTAGAAAAGGCGGGTGCCGTTTTATGAACGGCAACCCGCCCCTGCACTGCCACCGCCCTGCCGTTTATAAACAGCAGGCGGACGGCAAGTGGTTAAATGTTTGCTTTTGGGTTTAATACTGCTTTAATTTGGTATCTTTATATACAAGTGTTCCTATAGAGTGGGGAGAAGAAATTTAATGCGTAATTGCTACAGTATTCACCCTAGAACATCAGTTAGTTTTGTATCCAATAACAATCTGTTTGTTTCTCACATCTAGTAATGTACAGGGCACTGACCTTCCTGGTCTGGAAGCCATCTGCAAAGAGATCATTAAAGAAAAACTTCCCTTCCAGCGGGTGGAAGTGACACGGGAAGACTTACTAGAATTATTTAAGGTGAGAAATTGTTAAGAAGGACCCGTGCTGCAGACTTCATGACTGCTACGCATATCCAGCTTGGTGTTTACATGTGCTGGGCTGCCTTCAGGGTCATCAGAATTGCTGTGTTAGCATGATACATTTCTGAGCAACAGGATCAGGCCATATTTTATCTACTTCCACTGATATGTTTTATCTTTTAACTGTAAACCACAACCCTTATTTGCAAAAATAACTGCAAGAATGTCTTAGTCAGGCTGCTTTTGAATTTATAAAACTTATATTTGTGCATATGTATGCAAGAAGATGTCAAGTATACTCCTCAAAACATACACTATATTGCCAAAAGAATTGGGACACCCCCTAAATGCTGCTACTGCTAAATATTCCACGGTCAACTGTTAGTGGGATTATAACAAAGAGGAAGAGACTGCGAACAACCGCAACTCAGCCACCAAGTGGTAGGCCACGTAAAATAACAGACCTGGTGAGGTCATGCTGAAGTGCGCAGAAGTCACCAACTGTCTACAGCGTTAATAGCTAAAGACCACCAAACTTCATGTGGACTTCAGATTAGCACAACAACAGTGCGCAGAGAGCTTCATGGAATGGGTTTCCATAGCCGAGCAGCTACATCCAAGCCTTACATCACCAAGTGCAATGCAAAGTGTTGGATGCCGTGGTGTAAAGCATGCCGCCACTGGACTCTAGAGCAGTGGAGATGTGTTCTCTGGAGTGACCAATCACACTTCTCTGTCTGGCAATCCGATAACGTGTCTGGGTTTGGCGGTTGCCAGGAGGACGGTACTTGCCTGACTGCATTGTGCCAAGTCTAAATTATGGTGTACAGTTGTTTTTCAGAGGTTGGCCCCCTAGTTCCAGTGAAGGGAAATCTTAAGGCGTCAGCATTCCAAGACGTTTTGGACAATTTCATGCACCCAACTTTGTGGGAAGAGTTTGGGGATGGCCCCTCCTGTTCCAACATGACTGCGCACCAATGCACAAAAGGTCCATAAAGACAGATATGGATGAGCTAGTATGGGGTGGTGGAACCTGACTGGCCTGCACAGATTCCTGACTTCAACTGGATGAATTAGAGCGAAGACTGTGAGCCAGCCTTCTCGTCCGACATCAGTGCCTGACCTCACAAATGTGCTTCTGGAAGAATGGTCTAACCTTCCCATAGATACCCTCCTAAACCTTATGGAGTGAGTGAGCGAGTTTGGGGTGGAGGAACTTGACTGGCCTGCACAGAGTCCTGACCTCAACCCCATAGACCACCTTTGGGATGGAATAGAGCGGAGACTGTGAGCCAGGCCTCCTCCCCCGACATCAGTGCCTGACCTGACAAATGTGCTTCTGGAAGAATGGTCCAACCTTCCCATAGACACCCTCCTAAACCTTGTGGACGGCCTTCTCGGAGTTGAAGCTGTTAAAGCTGCAAAGGGCGGGGCCAACTCAATATTGTACCCTACGGACTAAGACTGGGATGCCGTTAAAGTTCATGTAAAGGCAGGCGGCCCAATACTTTTGGCAATATAGTGTAGCTGGACATATAAGGTTTGGTGCATTGGTTAAAGTGTCAGTTCACCAACAGTTTGCACCTTAGTGCCAACTGCAAATTAAATTGAGTCACCCACCAGCTTTTTTGGCGACTACACCCACATCCTTGATCTTCATGTGCTGCATCCAGCTTCATATCAGAGACAGGTTCTCTTTTTGTTGGATAAACCTGTCGCCACCATTCAACAAGTCAAAACAGCTGCTAAGGTTTCATTGGATTGTTGATTGGTGGATGTGGGGCTCAACTCTTTGGGGAAGTGGAAATTGAAGCATTTCTATTGTTTGCACTCAGAGTCATGGGGCTTCTCCTTTCTCTTCTGCAGTACAACAAGTTTAAAGTACAGATTATTGAAGACAAAGTGGAAGCAACTACAAGTGTATACAGGTAAATTGGCATGCATTTAAAATCCATTTTTATTGTTAAACCTTTCCAGCTGCCAGGATTGTATTCATATCTGACAAGCCGTCTGTCAGTAACACCCTGGCAACCTGCGTTCCATCAGCATCATTCGAGGATAGGGGAGACATCAGAGGTCTTTTTGATGTCTCGTTAAAGAAGACCTGTCACCAAAGAAAATCATCACATAGGGAACTTTTTGTCTTGGACAGGGAAAGGGGGTCTTCAGATTCTTTTTGAGCCCCCACATACATTCATGCATATCCAAACATAAATGCAGGGGAACCAATACCCAAAAAAGGATTGTTGATGCATATCGTCATGCATGCCAGAGTGAGAGCAATAATTCTAGGTCTATTATTCATAGCTAACTCCAACTTCATGACCTTCAGGGACTTTTAAGGCATCACCTGAGGAAGCTATACAGGGGTTGGACAAAAATATGGAAACCCTGCATGATTCGCAGCTGTGAAAGTGACATGTTTCGCATTGAAAGTGGACGTGATGTAACATTCTTTTGCTTCCACTGTGTGATGAGACACCTAGTTGACAAGTGAGAAGCCTCACTTTCGCCATTCGCTGTTTGCGCTGCTAGTAATGCAAAGTCATATCGGAGCTTACTGAGCTTCAAAGAGGGCAAATTGTGATGTCTACTTAGCTGGTGCCTCTGTGACTGAAGTTGCCAATTCATTTGCCGTGTCGTGAGGTCAGTATCGAAGGTTATAATGGCACTTACAGTTTCTGGGAAAACGTAGTGTGATCAGCATAAGCGCGATCGACATGGTCAACTGACCGAAAGAGACAAAAGAACATTGTGCAGGATTGTGACCCACAATAAGAAAACTACTTCTGCCAAAGTGACTGCAGAGCTCAATCTCAGTCTTCCAAAGCCCGTGTCCACAAAAACTATGCGAAGGGAACTCCTTCTGTAAAACTTTCACAGACGAGCTGCAATTGCCAAACCATTTGTGACCAATATTAATGCTCAGAAGAGAGTAGAATGGTGCAACACCCATAAATTGTGGACTATCGATCAGTGGAAGACTGTAATGCGGTCCGATGAATCGAGCTTCACTCTGTTCCCAACCACCGGACGTGTTTACGTGTGGCCAACACCATCCCAAGCTTACCACCAGGACTGTTTTGTGCCAACGGTAAAGCATGGTGGCGTCATAATCATGGTTTGCGCAGCCATATCTTGATATTCTGCAGGCCCCATCATCACCTTGAAAGGTAGTCACTGCCAGTGACTATGTACAAAGTTTGGCCGACCATGTGCACCCCATGGTGCAGACATTGTTTCCTGAAGGCAGCGCCATTTACCAAGACAATAATGCTTCGGTTCACACAGCTGGTGATGTCAAATTTTGGATTGACGAGCATGCAGACAAAGTATTTCACCTTCCCTGGGCGCAACAGTCGCTGGACCTCAATATGCTAGAACCACTATGATTGTGTAGGGTGTCTGCTTTCAAAAAAAAAGAAATATATGTACATACACACGTATACGCTGCTCAAAATAACTAAAGGAACGCTTTGAAAACACATCAGATCTCAATGGGGAAAACTATCATGCTGGATAGCTACGTATACTGATATAAACCGGACCCCGAAAATCAAAGTGAAAAAATGATGCAGCAGGCTAGTCCATTTTGCTGAAATTTCATTGCATAAACTCAAAATGGTAGTTTGTATGGCCCCTATGTGCTTGTATGCATACCTGACACCGTCGGGGAATGCTCCGAATGAGACGATGGATGGTGTCCTGGGGGATTTCCTCCCAGATGTGGACCAGGGCATCACTGAGCTCTTGGACAGTCTGAGGTGCAACCTAGTGGCGTCGGATGTAATGAAACATGATATCCCAGAGGTTTTTTTTATCGGATTTAGGTCTGGCAAGCGTGGGGACCATTCAATGGAATCAATCCCTTCATCCTCCAGGAACTGCCTGCATTCTCTCGCCACATGAGGCTGGGCATTGTCGTGCACCAGGGGGAACCCAGGACCCACTGCACCAGCGCAGCGTCTGACAATGGGTCCAAGGATTTCATCCTGATGCCCAATGGCAGTCAGGGTGCCATTGTCTAGCCTGTAGAGGTCTAGGTGTCCCTCCATGGATATGCCTCCCCAGACCATCACTGACCCACCACCAAAACGGTCATGCTGAACGATGTTACAGGCAGCAGAATGTTCTGCATGGCTTCTCCAGACCCGTTCACGTCTGTCACATGTGCTCAGGGTGAAAACCTGCTCTCATCTGTGAAAAGCACAGGGTGCCAGTGGGGGACCTGCCAATTCTGGAGTTCAATGGCAAATGCCAGTCGAGCTCTATGGTGCCGGGCAGTGAGCACAGGGCCCACTAGAGGACGTTGGGCTCTCAGGCCACCCTCATGAAGTCTGTTTCTGATTGGTCAGACATTCACACCAGTGGCCTGCTGGAGATCATTTTGTAGAGCTCTGGCAGTGCTCATCCTGTTCCTCCTTGCACAAAGGAGCAGATACCGGTCCTGCTGATGGGTTCTACGACCCTGTCCAGTTCTAGAGTAACTGCCTGTCTCCTGGAATCTCCTCCATGCTCTTGAGACTGTGCTGGGAGACACAGCAAACCTTCTGGCAATGGCATGTATTGATGTGCCATCCTGGAGGAGTTGGACTGCCTGTAACCTCTGTAGGGTCCAGGTATTGCCTCATGCTACCAGTAGTGACACTGACCCTAGCCAAATGCAAAACTAGTGAAAAACTGAAAAGAGGAGTAGGGAAAAAAATGTAATTGGCCTCCACCTGTAAAACCATTCCTGTTGTTAATTTCATGAACACCAAAGCAGCTGAAGCTGATCAATAACCCCTTCTGCTACTTAACTGACCTGATCAATATCCCAGGAGTTTCATTGACTTGATGCTGTACTCTGATTAAAAAGGGTTCCTTTAAGTGTGTGTATATGTATGTGTGTATGTGTGTGTGTATATATATATATATATATATGTATGTATGTATAAAAAAACTTTTTTTTTTTTTATTTGGGGGGGGTTTAATGTTATCTTCAGGCATAAAATACCGGTAAATTTGAACATGTAAACAAAAAATAAAACCGCAAAAATGGCTCTGGCAGCAAAAGGGTTAGGGGGGTTGCCAATTTTAGCTCCGTGTGTGGCTAGTATATAAAAATCATTGTGCTACATGGCAGCCTTAGGTTGGCCATATATTATACAATTATCTTCCAATTTTCTGCCCAATTTCCTTTAGATTTACCTTCAACTGTGTAGTGCAAGGGCCTGCCTAATTGGATACAACTGAAAGTGTTTAGGTTTGTCCTCCTATTATATGTTTTTTTTGTAAATCTAAACCAAATATCACCAGATAATTGTATAATGTATGACCAGCCTAAGAAACTAAATGTTTGCAAAAAACTACCTAATTATTTGATTACAAATTAAAAATTGTCTGCATGGGAGATGATTTACTAAAGGCAAATAGTCTGCGCACTGTAAGCGCTAGATCTGAGGGGAAGCTCTACTGATTTCTATTATCCAATCATGTGCAAGCAAGAATGCGGTTTCTTTATTTTCCTTGCATGTTGCCCTTAGATCTAGAGCAACTGCACTCGCAGTGCACAAACTGTTTTCCTTTAGTAAATCAACCCCATAGTGTTAAAGGATCACCTTTTAACAAAAAATAATAAATGAACATTTTTTTGCAGGTAAAAACATGGGCATTTATCATTTTTGTTTCTGGAGCCTGTAAAGCATTACATCCAGTGATCAATAGATCACTGGTGCCATCCAGGTCTCCCTCTGACCTGTCGCTGTATCTGCTTGCTTGTACATCCCGTACGGGCAAGCAGATACTTACTGAAGGATGCTTAACCACTTGCCTACCGGGCACTTATACCCCCTTCCTTACCAGGCCAATTTTCAGCTTTCAGTGCTGCCGCACTTTGATTGACAATTGCGCGGTCATGCAACATTGTACCCATATGAAATTTTGATCATTTTTTCCTCACAAATAGAGCTTTCTTTTGGTGGTATTTACTCCCCGCTGGGCGCTTTACTTTTTGCGCTATAAATAAAAAAGTGCATAAAATTTGAAAAAAAAAAAAAAAGTTTCTTTGTTTCTATTATAAAAATTTTCAAACAGGCATTTTTTCTCCTTCACTGATGTGCGTTGATGAGGCAGCACTGATGGGCACTGATAGGCAGCACTGATGGGCACTGATAGGCAGCACTAAAGGGCACTGATAGGCAGTACTAATGAGGTGTCACGGATAGGCGGCACTGATACAGCACTAATGAGGTGTCACGGATAGGCGGCACTAATATGCAGCACTGATAGGCGGCACTGATAGGTGACACTGATGGGTACTGATAGACGGCACTGACTGGCATCACTGCTGGGCACTGACTGGCACAACCCCTGGGCACTGACTGGTGGCACTGACTGGCAGCACTGGTGGGTGGGCACAGGTGGGTGGGCACAGGTGGGTGGCACTGCTGGGCACAGGTATGTGGCACTGCAGAGTGGCACAGGTGGGTGCACTGCTGGGCACAGGTGGGTGCACTGCTGGGCACGGGTGGGCGGAGCTAGTGGGCGCACTGCTGGGCGGAACTTGCGGGTGGCACTGCTGGGCACCGATCATCAGGGCACTGATCATCAGTGCCCTGATGATCGGTGCCGATCCCCGCTCTGACAACTGCCGGTTCTCGGCAGTACTTTCCTCACGATCTGACAGTGTGAGGAAAGTGCAGCCGAGAACCGGCACTTGCATTTCCCTCTGATCAGCGTGTCATTGGACACCGCTGATCAGGTGGTTAAAGGCCGCTGTGATTGGCCTTTTACCACATGACGTGATCAGCTGTGTCCGTAGGACACAGCGATCACGGAGATCGCCGGGGGCGCGCAGGAGAGCGCGTTCTGGGAGGACGTCATATGACGTCCACCCAGAACTGGCCGGCCGCGGTTGAAGCCGTCATTCGGCTATGCGCGGTCGGCAAGAGGTTAATGAACTACCACGGCACTATGGAGCGCTGTGGTAGTTCATTGAGAACTACAAGCCTACAACCACAAAGGCTGCCGGACTTGTAGTTTTCCCATTTACAGAATATTGTGAATGAATGATGTGGCCGGGCAGGCGGAGCGTTTTTTTTAATTTTTTTTTTTTTTTTTTTAAATTGTGACAGCCAGCAGGGAGGAGAAGATCCTGTGTTTAAAGTTTGGAAATTATGTATCCTCATCTAAATGATCTCTAATTATTTAGCAGCTTTCTATCCATTGATGTGGTTGCTGCAGGTTTTTTTTTCCCTGATGATTTTTCCATCAGCACTCTTCCTGTCTTAGGATAACTAATATGTACTGTAGGTGTGGATGAGTAATATATTACATTCTTCTTCTTGGGTTTACATGCATTGTTAAAGGACATCAGCACATCTGAGTCACTAGAATGTCCTCTGTCTGTACAGGTGTGGAAATCTAGTTGACCTCTGCCAGGGTCCTCATGTCGGGCACACCGGGCAAATTAAAGCAATTAAAGTCACCAAGGTGAGTCAAGCAGTTCTTTGATTGGAGGGGTTTGATCACAATGTGATACACCTGTGTGAGAATTATGTGATGGAAGCAGCTTTTGCCAGACTTATACATAAGTTGATGGACAGGTGTACGGTCCCAGCTCTACTGTCTCCAGAACAAGTACTTGGCACATGACTCAATGTCTTCAGCCATCTTCAACACCTTCTGCATGCCAAGCCTTTGTTAGTTCTAATACATAAGTTGGCAGTGTGTAGCTCTGTGAAGTGGACCTGTCAGTAAGAATACAAGATTGTTCCTTAGATATGTGAAACTGTTCATGTTCAGTTATTCAGAGTGTACTCATGGTGCTGAATTGAAACAATTGTTTTTATATATGTTGTATCCCAACAGGTATAGCTATAGATGCACATTGGTCTTAAGCACTAGGAACCCAATTTTGTTAAATCGTGGTGCATGGCCTTAACCACTTCTTGCTGACCGGGTGCATATATGCAGTCTCTTGGCGTGCGGGCTTTAACGCTGCATATATGCAGCCTTCAGTAAACACTTGACTGTGCTGAGAGCCCTCCTGCTCCCAGAACAGTAACGAATGGGTACCTGAAAGCTCCCAATCGCAAGTTCCGAACATGTGACTGCCAATCACAGTCGTCACATAATCAGAATGCCCGCCTTCACCTCCTGTCATTTAGATCTGCTTAAAGTCCTGGGAGGCAGCAGTGGGAAGGGGTTTAAGGGCTGATTTCCCAAAGGTCCCTGATCCCTGATACTTAAAGTGGAACTAAAATCCTGTTTTTAAAAACTGCGAGAGATTGCAGAAAAGACATGCAATGTCTCTTCTGCAATTACCGAGACCTGCATGCTTACTTGTTTGTGGAATGTACACTGAGCTGCGCAGGTGCAGTTCAATCTAGATTCTGGAACAGCCCCGTGTGTCTGGCGACTGTGCTCCTGCACATGTGCAGGAGTGATGTCAACCTGTGCTGCTCAATGAGGACAACCACAGCCCGGCACCCAGAAGAAGGCAAGTAAAATATGCCAGCAAGGGATGTTGGAACATTGAACAGAAGTAAGTATTCTGGAGTTTGCTCTGCTTTTATGCTACCATCACCAAAACCCGAATGCTGGCCATACACTATGGGCAAAATAAAAAATGACATTTATGATGCAGTCTATCAGTAGCATTAACATTCGCACAGCACGCATGCACTTTACTCACCCCTGATTAGTAGGGTGTAGGTCCTTAGATTTGCTCTGAAATTCTTGGGGGTGGAAGGCAGTTTGCATGTTCTCCCTGTGCCTGCGTGGGTTTCCTCCGGGTACTCCAGTTTCCTCGCACACTCAAGACATGCTGGTAGGTTAATTGGCGCCTGTCTAAATTGGCCCTAATATGTGTATGTATGAATGTGAGTTAGTGCCCTTAGATTGTTCGCCCCTTGAGGGTTAGGGACTGATGTGAATGTACAATATATATGTAAAGCTCTGCGTAAATTGACGGCGCTATAAAAGTACCTGAAATAAATACATTTACCACCAATCAGAACATGAGGAAAACAGTGACACCCCCATCCTCTGGCGTCAAATGACACCATACTCCCACCAAAATATATTAAAATAATGCTAGCATTTAGACTGATCAAAAAGGCACATGTAATGTGTTGTATTTAAAAGGGGAGAACCGGGACAATCTGCCATTGCCTCTGTCTAAAGTGTTGATTGGGCACATCGAGAATCCAGGTCGGCGGGACCCAGGGTTGCCGTTGCTAGGCAATGGGGGGGGGGGGGGGGGGTCAGCTGGTATTCGGAGTGCGCTACGTATGCTGCGTGTGTTGCTAGGCAGTGAGAAACACCAAACAGCGGGGCCGCCGTCGCCACGTGACGTCAGACTGCCCCACCAGTAAAAAATGTAAGCACAGCACCGGAGGGGGGAATGTGTGCAAGTGAAGATGGGAGCCAGTGAAATCTAAGATAAAAAGGAAAGGAAATTAAAGAGACAAGGGAAAGCATGTCTGACATAAAGGCTTCTCCCTGCCTGTTAGCGTGTTTACAGCACACTGAACATTGCACACACAGCTCCACATATTGCTTCATTACTATTCTGTTCTGGGAGAAAGTATCTCCCCATACGCATGCATGGGAGTTCTGAGACTGCCCAGTCAAGATAACTAAGACTGGTCAAGATGGCAGAGCTGGAAGGGATTGCTATGTTGGGTAATTATGTTGAAACGTGCAAATATGCTGCGCGTACTTGTAAATGAAGGCAAAAAACATTCCTGGGGGACCAAAAGTTGATCTATTTTCCCTGGTGGTTTACTTCCACTTTAACCCCTCGCCCTCCTGAGGATTTGCCCCCCTTCCTGACCAGGCCATTGTTTGCATTGCAGCACTGCAATAATTTAACAGACAACTGTGCGGTTATGCAATGCTGCACCAAAATGAAGTTTACGTCCATTTCTTTCCCATGAATTGAGCTTTCTTTCGGTGGTATTTGATAGCCTGTGTGTTTTTGAATTTTTTGCTCTATTAACAAAAAAAAAAAGACCAACAATTTTGTGAAAAAAAAAACGTTTTTTGACATTTTGCTATTAAACGTGTCCAGTACAAAAAAATGTAAAAAATCTAATTTCGTCATAAATTTAGGCCAGAATGTATTCTGCGCGACATGTCTTTGCTAAAAGAAAAAAATCCCAATACGTGTAAGTTAATTGGTTTATATGAAAGTTACAGCATTTACAAATGGCGGTGTGTATATATACTGGGATATTTTTTTTTTTTTTTTTGCTAGTAGCGGCAGCGATCAGCGACCCTAATACAGTGATCAATGCTAAAAGGAAAAAAAAAAAAAAGCACTGACACTGTACTAATGGCACTGGGCAGGAAGGGGTTAACATCTGGGGCGATCAAAGGGTTAACCTGTGTGCAGGGAGTGTTTTACTAGGGGGCGGTGTCAGTGTGCACAGCCATCCAGAGCAGTGTGCCCGAGCTGACAGGGAGAACTGTTAGTAAACAAAACAGTTCTCCCCATCAGAGATCCTCGGTAATCACCTGGTGCCGGCAAGTAATTACCAGCCTGGACCCGGTGATTGACACCCATGGATGCGGATACCTGAAATGCAAATTCACGTATTTATACATGATTTTGCGCACCGTGCCGCCCTGTAGCAGTATTTCTGTTATAGGGCGGTCCGGAATCGGTTAAGATTAATGCTTAAAAAATCACACCAAACATGCTCCCTGGAAATACTCCATACTTTTCCTAATATTTTAACACCACCCCTCACTCTCTAAAATCTCTAGAATTACTCCTTACATGAACCCTATGTTAAGTTTAAGGCATCAAATGTGTTAATTCCTAACTCTAACCCGTGACTTTAACTCCTAACTGAAGCCCAAGCAGCTTAACCCTTGCATTGTACTTGGCTTACTGGGAACTGAACCTAAACTATCATCACCAAAAGCAATCTCTCTGCTCTGAGATATACAGCATGCGTGGATCTGATACAACTGATAGTGATTCTACACTGTATTGTACAATTGACTCATCCTTATCAGTTATGGTTTTAGTGTTACATCCTGCTTGAGGTGATTGTAGCCGTATTAGTGCATTTGCGACAGAAACAATTGAGTACTGTCCGTGATACTTTTTTTATTTGCACTAAAATACAATTTTGAGGACAAGCTTTCGGGGAATGTTCCCTTCTTCAAAGTCCAAGCAGTACTCAATTGTTAGTGTTACATCCTGAAAGCATTTTGTAATTTGTTTGACTTTTTTGGTATCTGTTCTGTTTTAATATTGTATCTTCTTGTTTCATTTCAGAACTCGTCAGCCTTCTGGAGAGCGGACCCCACACAGGATGTATTACAGAGAGTGTATGGGATCTCCTTCCCTGACGGTAAACAGATGAAGGAGTGGGAGAGACTGCAAGAAGAGGCAGCCAGGCGTGACCATCGCAAGATAGGAAGGGTAAAACAAGTCAATTGTGTGGAACCATAAACTTGCTGTTAGAGGGACAACTGTACCATGAATTAACCGCTTCCCTACCGCCCTATAGCAGAAGCACTGCTACAGGACAGCAGGCATGCGCAAAATGCATATATACGTGATTTTGCATTTCCGGGTAGGGGGCACGCACACCGCCATTGGCGGCTACAGTTGTCAATCACCGGGTCCAGGCCTGACATTCCCTGTCAGCACCCAGCGATCACCGAGCAACACTGACAGGAGAGGTTAGTATGTAAACATCTCTCCACTGCAAGCATGCTGCTTTGTATTGCTCTGCTATGCAGAGCAATACAAAGCAGCATGCTGGTTCTGACATAGTAAAACAGCACACAGTTAACCCTTTGATCACCCCAGATGTTAACCCCTTCCTGCCCAGTGCCATTAGTACAGTGTCAGTGCTTTTTATTAGCACTAATCACTGTATTCGTGTCAGTGACCGTCCCCCCACTGTCAGAATGCCCGCTGCAGTCCCACTATAAGCTGCTGACCACCGCCATTACTAGTATATAAAAATAAAAATTCCAGTATATATACCGCCATTTGTAGATGCTATAACTTTCACGTAAAACAATTAATTTACATGTATTGGGATTTTTTTAATTTTTTTTTTCTTTTAGCAAAGACATGTTGCAGAATACATTTTGGCCTGAATTTATGACAAGATATTAGATTTTTTTTTTTTTTTTTTTTTTCCCTGGATATGTCTTATAGCAAAAAGTCAAAAATATCATATTTTTTTTTTTTTTTTCAAAATTGTCGGTCTTTTTTTGTTTATAGCGCAAAAAATAAAAACCGCAGAGGCGATCAAATACCATTTTGTGGGAAAAACAGGACATAAATTTCATTTGGGTGCAGCTGTGCATGACCGTGTAGTTGTCAGTTAAAATAACGGAGCGCCGTATCGCAAAAGATGGCCTGGTCAGGAAGGGGTGTAAATCCTCTGGAGGGTAAGCTGTTAATCAACATCCGAGTTCAGCCAACCTTTTCAAATATTTACACCCCCATTCCCACAGTAACGACTGTGCATACCTGGCTAGCCAAATGCAATGAAAATGTATCGTGTGCACATGCAATGGCCCCATTTTGCTCTTTGGACAAGCCCTATTTATTGCTGCCTCCAGCCTTTCAGTATGAATGAATATGGGCCTTGGCATGTGTGCGCAGCAGGAAGAGTACCTGGCAAGGTGGTTATTTGTACTTCAGACTGTGTGTCACAGACCAGGCTGCACAGTGAAAATCACCGGAATGGGGAAGATGACAAGTATTTTACCAGGAGGGCTGCAATCAGGGTGGTGGGGGGAATAATTAAAGGCCAACTTTACTAAAATTATAGTTATCATTTATAACTTGAAATGCTGATAAGTAGAAACCTCCAAAAGAAACCTTGTTCTTGTAGTCCCGAATCTGCCTGTCCTCTGCCATGTTTATTTATTTCAGGTACTTGTATATCGCCATCAATTTACGCAGCGCTTTACATATATATATTGTACATTCACATCAGTCCCTAACCCTCAAGGGGCGTACAATCTAAGGTCCCTAACCCTCAAGGGGTGTACAATCTAAGGTCCCTAACCCTCAAGGGGTGTACAATCTAAGGTCCCTAACCCTCAAGGGGCGTACAATCTAAGGTCCCTAACTCACATTCATACATACACATACTAGGGACAATTTAGACAGGAGCCAATTCACCTACCAGCATGTCTTTGGAGTATCGTGAGGAAACCGGAGTACCCAGAGGAAACCCACGCAGGTACAGGGAGAACATGCAAACTCCAGGCAGGTGGTGCCGTGGTTGGGATTTGAACCAGCGACCCTAGTGCTGCCAGGCGGAAGTGCTAACCATTTAGCCACTGTGCTGCCATATAGTACAGCCTCGAGATTAAAGTATGATCCAGCTCTCAACTTTGACCAGGACATTAGCTGGCCATACGTTGTACAATTATCTTTTAAAATTTTCCTTTAGGTGTACCAAAACCATATAATATGAGGTCAAACCTGAACACTTTTAATTTGTGTGCAATCAGGCAGGCCATTGCGCACTACGTAATTGAAGGTAAATGTAAAGAAAATTTAACAAGAAAACTGTTTAATGTATGACCAGCTAAAGGCCCCTTTGACAGTTCTGCCTGTCGGTTTTTTAGGTGGTTCTGATTAGAAGGTTCATTCATCCCTATAGACAGTGGCGTCCCTGTGTGGGGGGGTGCGCGCCACACCGGGTGATACCTATCGCACGGGGTGACACCGGACCCTCTCTACGAGCTCCACAAAAAGGAAAGTTTTAAAGCAAACCTACTATCCCTGCAATATAAATCGGATCTGTGGATTGAGCATAATGGATTGGAGTCCGATCCATTATGCTTCCCAATCCACAGATCCGATCCGTCTTGCGGGGATCATCGGCTTGCAACCTATACGGGGTTAACTGATCTAGGTAAGGCTGTGCAAGATCCTGGACTTGTCTGTAACCAGGAAATGCGGCCGCGATAGCAGGAACCTCCTCCATCTGACATCACTTCTCGAGCGTGTGCAGGCCGGACCGGTGTTGAAAGATCAGTTAACCCCGTATAGATTGCAAGCCGACGATCCCCGCAGGATGGATCGGATCTGCAGACTGGGGAGCATAATGGATCGGACCCTGATCCATTATGCTCAATCCGCAGATCCGATCCATCCTGCGGGGATCGTCGGAGGGGTGACACCAAGTGTTAACGTACCGGGTGACACCAACCCTAGGGACGCCCCTGCCTATAAACAGATGGGTATAAATGGACTTGTCTGTTTTACACCCTCTTACCTCCAGGTCCAGTCTGGGGGGAAAAAAAAATGGAAGTTGATCTGTCCTGTTCTGTTTAGGCAGATCGGATCAGAGGGTAGTCAGGTGTAAACAAACAGTGGAGTCCGTTTTACTCTAGGCCACCCATAGAGCAGAGCAGGCTCTCTCAGTCTCCGTTTCTGAAGAAACTGAATGGACTCAGATGTCATATGCCCGCTCTGCTCCAATCAGCAGGGGGATCTGTGAGCTGATCCCCTGCTGACCAGAATGGAATCCAACCTGCTGGCATCAGTTGGCACACTTAGGCCCCTTTCAGTCACCTGCTGATGAAACCGAACATTGATGTATGGCCACAAAAATAGAATCTGTTCCTTAGTGTGGATGTGTGACCGGTCAAGTGAATAATTACCCCAGAAAGGAAACTATGAAAACATGAACTCACTTAAGCTGCAGTATAGATTCCCTGTAACATGGAAGCAGTACTGAATATTTCTTTCCATCTTGGGTGCCATGTCACTATAAGATCCCTTTCTCTTTCCCAGGATCAGAATTTGTTCTTCTTCCATGAATTCAGTCCAGGAAGCTGCTTCTTTCTACCAAGAGGAGCACACATCTACAACGTCCTGATAGACTTCATAAAGGTATTTCCCTTTTCTCTGCTAATGCTAGAAGAGCACACCAAATTGTTTTTGGGTAGTGGATTTCATAGTATCAGTGTAGTAGTTCTGCTGTGTCAGAGGATCAGGTGAGACAGAGATAGTCAGCAGTTACAGCTAAATGTTAGCAGGTACCTGATCCAAAAAGACATGTCTTTAGCCCGGGTTCACACTATGCGGTGTGGGACACCGCCTGTAATTCGCACAGGAATTGCGCCGCATTCCTGTGCGAATTGCATTCAAATGTCTGTGCGGTGCAACTTGAGCCATGCGCTTTGTATGGCTCAAGTTGCATCCGCACCAAAAAGGTGCAGGACCCTTTAAATCCGCACCTGAATCACATCGCATGGTTGTTCTCACCCATGCAATGTGATTTCTGGCAATCATATCGCGTTTTGCGAGCTGTTTTGGGTTGTCATTCATTTTATCAATTTTGCCACGTGCACCAAATCACATGAACGTGATGTGATTGCAATGCGGTGCAGGAAATGCACAGGATTCACAGCGTTTACGAAACCGCATCGGTGTGAACCCAGGCTTAGCGTTCAACCAAATAACAAAAAATGGATTAAAAAGAAAAAAAAAAAAAACATTTTCAGAACACTATACCCACAATTGATGCAGACAAATCCAGCATTGGTAGTTTTCACTTTTAAATTGTTAGAAGTAATAAAAGCAGTCATTTATATCATGCTGTCTTCAAAGCTTAGCCAAAATATGGCTAATATGGCTGTCATGAAGATATATAAATACATTGAGGGAAGTTAATGCGTAGTGCAAACATGATGCTTAGAAAATGGGCAGATGCTGCCCCTAATTAAAGGATAAGTTCACCACTTAAAGAAAAAAAAATGAATGCACACGTTTTTGCAGGTAAAAACATGCATTTTTTTCCCCAGGAGCCTGCAGAGCATGCTGATCGAAGGTGCAATGTCAGGCTCCTGCAGACTCTCAGTACAGCTGCGTGCCTGTACCTCTGGTAGGAGCAGACAGTTACTGAAGACCGGAAGAATTCATGAACTACGAGATCGATCATCGGCACTCTTGCAGTTCATTGAGCACTACAAGCTGTCTACCGTGGTGGCAGATGAGACTTATAGTTCATTTGCTCAGATTGCTGTGATTGATGCAGCTCTGATGAGACTTGCAGTTCATTTGTTCAGATTGCTGTGATTGAATGATGCAGCTGTTAGAGCCTTGCACAGCCACATTGTTTTTAAATTGTAACAGCATGTCCCGGGAAAAGGCTCCCTGCCTGCTGTCACGGGGGGAGGTGCTCTGTAGTAACATGTTAGACCCTAAATATGCATATAACGTGTCACATATTACTAAAGGTGAAGTTATCCTTTAACAAAAGGGCACATACACCCTTTAATGATTAGGACGGATCTGCTCCCTGTCCTATACCATCCATCTCCATAGACACAACAGTACAGCTGGAGTTGCAAGCTCAAGATTCCTTTATCTATCCCTGTCTTCCTGCTCAGCTGAGTGTGGGAGGGAGATAGAGGGCTCTGCTCATATGGGTAGAGAGAAATGTGAGCTGTTTGATGACAGCTCACATTCTATACACCAGGCCAAACCAGACGGGTTTTCTCTAATGAAAATGTGTGCAATCTCTGTTCATACATCACAGAACCCACGCCTGTTTAATTCACACTGGAATAGAAACTGGCTCAGATGGACCTAATATGGTTGATCTGATTAGTTAATGTGGTGCACGCCACTCCAGATGGTTTCCTGTGGTGGTTTTCTGCCACAGGGAGCTTAGTTATTCCCTGGATTGTTTCTGAATGCTTTTATTTCTTCTGTCTTTTAAAAAAGCAGTATATTAACGTTAAAGGAGAAGTATAGCCAAAGCTCTGCTTCTCACGTGGATCAGGCATTCAGTTCGTTCTGCACTCCTGTGACCCGGTTTCAACTGACAGCTGGCGTCACTCAGCCGGTCCATACTGGGGAAAGATGCCGTCTTCAGTCGGGATTCACCCCAGAACAAAAACACAACAAACTCTGTACTCCTGCGCTTCGGGATGGACTCGGCTAGGGTTATGGTAACATCACAGATATCCTGGAAAAGGCACTCCTTGCTTCCCTCAACGGACCGGGGTAGTCCAATGGCACTGGATACCAAAAAAAACAAACGGTGCACCGGCCTAGTGCATGATCGTAAAAAATGTATTGGAAGGATAAAAAGTAAGTAGTATGCTCACAATAGGCTAACAGGCTAACGCCTGTTTGAGACCTCGTAACACATTAGCCTGTAGAAGTCCAGGGTTCCATTTTTTGGACTTACATGCTATGTGGACTGGACTCTGCTGTTTAGTATGATGTGCCTTTTGACCTGTTTGCCTATTGTGAGTACGATACTTACTTTTTATCCTTTCGATCAATTTTTTACGATAATGCACTAGGCCGGTGCGCCCTCTGTTTGTTCTTCTTTGTATCTAGGGATTCACCCCAGAATCTGGCACAGCGAAACGCTGAGAGTCCGAGCCAGCCGCTCCCACTCCCTCCACAGCCCAGCACTCCAGTGAGTGCTGGGGGGGGGCTGAGCAGACAGCGTTGACTGGCACAGAGCGAAGAGGAGAACTCAGTGGTCATGCGATCGCTGAGTTCTCACCCTTAGAGCCAACGGGGGACAGATGAAGCACCTAGGTAAGTATAATGGGAAAAAAATTAACCCCATACTTCTTTAAGTGGCTTTAAAGAAAGCGGCATCGTGTCACTTTCAGCTTCTGGTAGAATTCAGGCTGTTAGAATTCAGTTTCCACTGTCACAGGATCAGAAAGGGCGTTAGTGACCTTCACGTGGTTTATATGAGGTGCTGTATTTATTGCTTCTACATTTTGGTAGTTCAGGGCCAAGATCTGGCAGGAATAGGACTGGGAAATCTAAAAGTAAAACTTCAGTCAAATCGTAATCTTGCTAGCAGAAAATGATGGTCAGTGACTGACGGGTAAGGAGAGCTGTGCATGTGTTTGTAAGACACTGATCAGTAAAATCCCTCTCTGGGCAGAATAATAAAACACAGCCATCTTCTGAGAATGGCTTTCTATTTCTTCTACAACCACTGACACCTACCTTTGTGTTCAGACTATGTGACTGAGAGGATTATTCCATGGTGTCATCCACCTTCCTCTCCTAGGCCATTAGTAGTGATGGTTGCGTGGGGTGTGGTTCAGTATTAAACAGCAATTTCCCAGCCGCTGATTAATTATGACTTGTTGATTAGGGAATGATTTGGAGTTCTGTAGTTTAATAGTTTCTAGTTTGCGGAATTCAGGGAGAATCTGCCGACATGTAGTTATATTTGTGTGACTCATGCCTATAGATTTCCTTTGAAGATTGGCCACAAGTCTAACCTACGACTGAGCTCTTCATGACTGAGCGTGCCTGAAAGCAGATCTGTGTCACCATTATTGACTTTCAGTGTTTGTGCTTCAGGTGAAGTGGAGTAAAGAAAACAAATTGAGACATTTTATTGGCTACAGGTCTAGACATGTTATATTTATCAATGTTGCCTTGTAGCCAGCAATTGGTTGCCTTTTACTGTTCAGCTGTCATTTTCCTGCTGCTCTGAATGTATTTGTGGAATTAGGGCAGTAAAGACGTCTTTGAAGCGCATTGGTAATTTAAAGGGTTTGTTCACCTTTACAGAAAAAATGGGAGGGTGAACAAACCCCAAAAAAGAATATGTGATCAAATAAAATAAAGTAACCAAAAACCCCTAGTGCTAAATTACATCTACAACAGTGTGTAAAGCATACCAATATGTAAACAAAACATCCAGTGCATCAGTGAGTAGAAATCAGTGAAAATATGAATAAGTGCTAATCAGATCAGCTGGTATACAATACCAAATAAAAATAACCAGAAATAAAATAAATCACAGGTGAAGTGAAAAATAGATCAATTCAAAACAACAACCACCCGGCTGACCATCAAACCCAAATAGATGCATCAATCCTCCCCATCAATGAGATGTACGCACCCTTACATTAAACTTTATTACCCTCATGACATGATCTTATGATTTTCCTCATGACATGATCTTATGATTTTCTAACAGATCTCCTTTAGCTGTGTATCAAGTGATCCTTTTGAGCTAACTTTTTTTTTTTCTTTTTGTCCCATGCAGAACGAGTACAGAAAGCGGGGGTTCACAGAGGTCATTACCCCAAACATGTACAATAATAAGCTATGGCAGCAGTCTGGACACTGGGAGCACTATGGAGAGAATATGTTTTCTTTCGCCATTGAAGATGAGACTTTCTCCCTGAAGCCAATGAACTGCCCTGGTCACTGGTGAGTCAATATATGAAACCTGCTGACTTCATGGAGTCCATATCCAGAGAGAAGTTGTGGGCTCTGATGATTCAGCGACTGTTTGTTGTTGTGTGCAGCTGTTGCGCAGTGTGTCATGCTGTTACTGTATCAGTTCATCACCCAGATATACAGAAAGTACTGGCTACAATACATTTTTTTCTTTTCTGAAACACAGAATATAGCTTTAAAATTAATTATTGGTACTTTCTGAAAACACATTTTAGTCTAGTACTAATTTACTTAAAAAAAAAAAAAAAAAAAAAAAAAAAAAATACAAGGGATGCCGTTATGGTTCGAGGTCAATTATACTTTTACAAATGTATTTTTTTTTTTTTGTTTGTTTTTTTTTTTCGAATATATTTTTTTTTACCTTTTCTAAAATACAAGGGTCATTAAAGTCAAACCAGGACTTTTAGTTTTCCAGGCATGAAAAGGGATGCTAGCGATACGGTACTACAGCCAGTAGTAAATGGCAAGCGTGTCCTATTATTGATAGGCTGCGCACATGTCGCAGGCCAATCCGGAGACCGTTTAATCAAAGTGGCAGATGACCGTGTTAGTGCGCGCATGAACAGCATGTGGTGATGAATTTTCTTGTGAGCGAAGGTGTAAATCCTACAGCAGACTTCAAGCACAGTATGGCGATGAGACACTCAGCCGCAGTAACACATTTGTAAGTTGTTAAAGTTTCAAAGATGGCCGTACGTCCGTCAGTGACTATCGTGATGGTCCCCAGGCCACAGCAGTCATTCCTGTGAACATTCAGCGTGTGGAACGCATGATCCTGGATAATCGACTTCTAACCTGTCATGAAATTGCACAAGAGATGAATCTTTCTGTGGTCAGCATTTCAGCACTGATAGTGATGTGAAGCTGGCTGTCCTGGGATTGTTCAGGCGTACTGACAAATCTTTCTATGCCGGAGCTTTCCAGGCATTCGTTAAATGCTGGGATAAGTGTATAAATATAGCAGAGGAGTATGTTGAAAAATAAATGCACTTTCCACTCCTTGAAACTTGTTCGTTTTTTTTTTTTTTTTTTCCAAAGTCCCAGTTTGACTTGAACCGCATACATACATTTATAGTAAACATTCAACAAGCTTTCGAAGTCGGAAACCATTAATAAAAAGGCAATATGCTGGCAATGTGGTTCATTGATGCTTATGCTTTTCATATATTTTTTTACTCTGGCAACAATTATCCAGAACACTGAATTGGCTGTAAAAAGAGCGTCAGCAGAGGATATTTTGCTTTACGCACTCTGTCTCTGATTATAACCTTGGATGGAGACATCCTGGGGGGGGGGAGAGAGAGAATCCCTGTTAACTCTCTGTGCCTGCCTGCCTGTTAGTGGATGTAATAAAATCGTGATCTGAACAGGTGATGTGATCGCCAGGCAGCTACCCATTATGGAAACACTTGACTCATAACTTTTTTTCTTTTTCATCCATTTAAGGGATGCAGGAAGTCATTAAAGCGAATATTAACCCTTTAACCCCTTTTATCACCTTCACTTCTCCTTCCCTTCTCTACTCAAATACAGGAGTTTTGTTTTTTGTTTTTGTAATAATTGTAACACCCCCCCCCCCCCCCTGCAAACGGTGCAACCCTGCCCCCCAGTGCAAGTCATATGCATAGACCAGGGGTCTCCAAACTATGGCCCTCCAGGTGTTGAAGAACTGCAAGTCCCATGAGGCCTTGCAAGACTGCCAGCCACAAGCAAAACTGCCAGAGGCATGATGGGACTTGTAGTACTTCAACAGCTTGAGGGCCATAGTTTGGAGACCCCTGGCCTTAGACGAATGACGTGCACAGTGCTAGCTGGGCCTTCTGGGATATGTATGTCACATATCCCAGGAGGCCTTTAGTCATTCATTATGTTAAAAGGGGGTGGGCCTAGCGGCATGTCATTGTGGGGCTTTGGCGGCTGAACCCAGAAGGGCCAGCAGGCATCTTGATGTCACAAGCAATATGGCCGTGCAGGGCCCAGCAGTTTCTGTTGACCAAAAGATGTCAGCGGGACAATGCTGGATCCGGTGGCTGGGTGAGTGTGCTCACAACATCACAGGTATAGCGGGGCATAGAAAAACAATCGGGGGGGGGGGGTGTGTAAGCTGAAGGTTCTCTTTAACCTTTTTGAATTGTGCTGTTGCCTGTGGGAGGATTGGATGCTGTCAAGCAAACTGTAGGTCAGCCCAAGATGACTCCTCCTACCAGCATGCCTCCGTTTTATGCTAGTGTCCTATGAGCATGAATGTCTTCAGCTCTGCTGGCTGGCATTGCTTCAGTACTTGCTGTGTCTCTGAAAACTGAAGTGAGTAGGCAGTTTCGGCAAAGTCTTAGAAGCTACCTTGTTTACATAGGATGCTGGGTGCCATTAATCCACTGGGCAGTGTCATATGTGAACATTCCACACCCTTTCTTGATATAGAGTGTTGAGGAAGCATCTCTCTGCTTCTGCTCCTGCTTGTAGGTGAAACTTTAATCTTCAATATGTTCCTTCTGCCTGCCTACTGCCGTTTTGGTAACTGCCGGCCAACCCTCACCTGATGCCACCTCTGTCTGAGGTTCGGGGGTACTTTGATCCTATACATTTCCTTGCAACCAAACGGCCATAACATTTCTGATTCTAGACAAATAAGGGACAGTTCCTCTCTTTTGAGTGCCCCCACCTTGCGCTGTAACTGCTCAGGGGCTGCAATCAGCATGTCTGACAATCCCAATGTCTGCAGCCTTGGCTCATGTTGCCCTCAGCTCCTGTAGTATTTACCATCCTCGGGTCCTCTTGGCTGGGTCTTTTGTGACTTTCAGCTGAGTTTTTCAGCGCTTTTTGCTGTGGTTGTGGAAAATGGTATGGCTTGGGTCACCCAGTTATTTGCTGACCACAGTTATTGTCAACCCAGTTATTTGTTAACCACACAGGCAACAAGCAAGCTCCTGCACCCTCTTCAGCAGATTCTGTTATCAATTTGCCTGTGACCTCAATGGCTTCTAAGCCATCTGTTCTGCTATAACTCCAAAATTAAAGGAGACCGTACTAGCTCTAAGGGCTCGTTCACACTAGCGGTTCTTTTTTTGAAGATCGATCCATGTTTGGATAGCTCTTTAGAGAGCACTCGACAAGCAATGAGGAGGCATTATATTGCCTCCTCACTGCTTGCTTTAATGCCTTGATCGCGGCACTTGGCATGCCACAACCACATGCATTGCACACAGTTTCAGGGTGCTTGCAGAGTGGCCCCGTTCACTTGAATGGGTTGCGTTCACCCGCCAAAAGTGACAGGTGATATAGTTTCTGCGTGTGTACAGCCACTGCTTCCGCAGTTAAGGGGGTAGCAATTAGGGGGCAGTAAAAGTGTGGGTTCAACCGTGAGGTTTTAGTGCCCCCCAACCTCATGTGGGAACGCGCACTTATTGCTGCAGTGCATCATTCTGAAACGGGGGAATGAGCCTGTTACTTCAACCAGTGCTGCTTCCAGGCTGGCTTAAAACTCCCAAGCGTGCAAAGTCTTTTCATTTTCATGGAATTTTCCATCTTTTTCTCCGTGGAGATTGGAAACATCTTAATAAGCACTCTACTACACCAAGTGTAAAGTGTCGTAAACCTTGACCCAGTATTGGTTTGGATGCTGTGCAGTAGTGTGGCTCCAGCAGTGTCCTGCCACGGCACCTAATATTCCAGTAGAGGACGTGCCTGTCTTTGAGGACCAAAAGTGGCTCAAAGTCCTTTCTAGAGCTCTGTTCTAGCTGGCATGTCCTACCCTTTACCCATTGCTGGCCGTGACTTTGTCAAACCACGTCTGACTTATCAGATTTCCTCAGGAGATCGAACCACTGCTGCGTTTGATCACTTGCTCATTGAACGTGTGGATCAGATGGCACTCATCTGAGAACTCATGAGATTGAATTCAATTGGGGAGTTTGACAGGTGGGGCCGCCTGTCAAATTTCGCAACCCGAGTTAAAAATACAGCAAAGCATCCTGGCTGTGGCATATATGTACAGTCCTTTCACACAGTATTGTTAGGCTCAGCTGTCTGTTTTTGCCACCCGTGTGAAGGAGCCCTAAGGTAGTCTTTGCCTTTCACCTCAACTAGGACATTTTTTCACTGTTCCTCTGGTTCACCCAAAAGACATTTCCTTACATCGTCTGTATGTGGTGTGAACAGTCAGCTGATTCCTTTTTTGTTATCCTGGATGGACCTGGAACATCCGGTTCCACTGTTTCCTCTTTTGAGGGATTTTTGGCAGCAAGCACTTCCTTCCCAAATTTGCAATGCTGCCATCTGGTCTGCTGTTCACACGTTCTCTTAAGTTCTACCAGGTGGAGGTTTAATTTTTGTTTTCATAGGCTTGTTGGTTTGCTGCGTTGCCCACCCCCTCAGTTGGACTGCTTTTGGATGTCCCAATGGTTAGACTTGTCCATTAGTGGGCACGAATAAAAAAAAAAAATCTTTTTTTTTTTTTTTTTTTTGGCACTGTCCGTGTTGCCGATTTTTCCTACCTTCACTGAATGGGTCATCCATCTTCTGGTGCACTCAGTAGTTGCCCTGAAATAGCCTGTTCATTATCAAATCAGACTGTTGATACTCTTTGGTTTCCTGGTTGTAAGATTGGTGACTGCTATTCCTCCTAATCCCCCAGCCACTGGTCTTGGCACATCCCTTCTGTAGTTCTTTTTGCAGGAAGGGGAGATGTAATTCAGCCCCACTTGCAGTGGAGGACAGATTAAGACTCTCAGATGCATTCAACAGTGTACCCACCTACATTCACTACAATTCCCTGTGGTTGATGGGAACTGTAGTTTCCTTTTACTGCAGAGAGAGAGGAGAGGATATGATGTAATCCCGGCTGTTACACCTCCTCCTTGGCAAAGCAGATGCTTTTATCATTTTAATTACAAAGATGAGGTTATGAAAATTCAGTTAGAGTTTTCTTATAAATGGTAAGGATTCTCAAAATTTTATTAACAGTTTAGTGTTTTGTGTAGGGGGTGTACTAATGAGTGATTTTTTTTTTTTTTTTTTTTTGGCCTATCCCGGAGATTCCACCCAACCCATACCCTTTGCTACGATACTGAGACATGCTGGTAGTTGGTAGATATTTTTTTTTTTTTTTGCCAGTGTTCAATACTCCCGTAGGCAGCAATATAACCTCATAGACTTCCTGTGTGCTTCAGTGGACTCCACAAAAAAGGCTTTTACCCGATTTACTGAAATCCTATTTTTTTTTTTTTTTTTTTTAAAGAAAATTCATTCATCTTTTCTCACTTGCCTACCAGGCACTTATACCCCCTTATTTACCAGGCCAATTTTCAGCTTTCACCGCTGCCGCACTTTGACAATTGTGCGGTCATGCAACATTGTACCCATATGAAATTTTGATCATTTTTTTCTCACAAATAGAGCTTTCTTTTGGTGGTATTTAATCGCCACTGGGCGCTTTACTTTTTGCGCTATAAATAAAAAAAGTGCAAAGAATTTGAAAAAAAAAAAAAAGTTTTTGTTTCTATTATAAAATTTTTTTAAACGGGTAATTTTTCTCCTTCACTGATGTGCGTTGATGAGGCAGCACTGATGGGCACTGATAGGCGGCACTGATGGGCACTGATAGGCAGTACTAATGAGGTGGCACGGATAGGCGGCACTGATAGACAGCACTAATGAGGTGGCACGGATAGGCGGCACTAATATGCAGCACTGATAGGTGACACTGATGATGGGTACTGATAGACGGCACTGACTGGCATCACTGCTGGGCACTGACTGGCGGCACTGACTGGCACAACCGCTGGGCACTGACTGGTGGCACTGACTGGCAGCACTGCTGGGCTGCACTGGTGGGTAGCACAGGTGGGTGGCACTGGTGGGCACAGGTGGGTGGGCACAGGTAGGTGGCACTTCTGGGCACAGGTGTGTGACACTGCAGAGTGGCACAGGTGGGTGCACTGCTGGGCACAGGTGGGTGATCTGCTGGGCACAGGTGGGCGGAGCTAGTGGGCGCACTGCTTGGCACAGGTGGGCGGAACTTGCGGGTGGCACTGCTGGGCACCGATCATGAGGGCACTGATCATCAGTGCCCTGATGATCGGTGACGATCCCCGCTCTGACAACTGCCGGTTTTCGGCAGTACTTTCCTCACGATCTGACAGCGTGAGGAAAGTGCAGCCAAGAACCGGCACTTGCATTTCCCTGTGATCAGCGTGTCATTGGACACCGCTGATCACGTGGTAAAAGGCCGCTGTGATTGGCCTTTTACCACATCACGTGATCAGCTGTGTCCGTAGGACACAGCGATCACGGAGATCGCTGGGTGCGCGCCCCCTGGGGCGCGCAGGAGAGTGCGTTCTGGGAGGACGTCATATGACGTCCACTCAGAACTGGCCGGCCGCAGTGCAGCCGTCATTCGGCTATCTGCGGTCGGCAACTAGTTAACTCTTTAAATCCCCTAAGCCTGTTTTTCATATGGAACAATGAATGTTAATATATTTTAATCCTCTTATATTTTATGTTTTAGTAACTTTTACGTTCTACTTTGCAGGAACATTTAATTGATCCTTTGCTTTGTTACTTTCCAGCTTGATGTTTGATCACCGGCCCCGTTCATGGAGAGAACTTCCACTAAGGTTGGCTGATTTTGGGGTGTTGCACAGGAATGAACTCTCAGGGGTGCTGTCAGGACTCACCCGTGTCCGTCGCTTCCAGCAAGATGACGCCCACATATTTTGCTCCATGGATCAAGTAAGTGTAACTTAGATGTGACAACCATTGTTTTAGGCTGGCCATTGATGGAGCAATTTTCTTTCCTGCAATCATGGGTTGCAGGAAAGAAAGTCGCTTGATTAACCCATCAGCATAGTCAGTGTTAATTGGGGAATGCCTCCCGTGGAGTCATTGTGTATGGTAGCCGCTCGCAAGAATTGCATGTAAAATCGGACAGGCTGGTTGTACCCAAGTTGCTAGATCAATCAGTTTTGGTACATTCAGCCTGCCCATACATTGTTCGAATCTCGGCTGGTCCCTACATGCTAATTTTGTTTCAACCCTCACCACCACCACTTTAGGGAAGTGCATTAACAAATAACTAATCAAATTTAACACAACTAAACAAAATTAGCTACGGATGAATTCAAAATTGGAGCGCTGTTTGCTTATATATTTTATTTGGGTGCATTGAAAAGGGACATTCCTAAATTTTGATTATTGACCCTTTTGAGGGTTTAAAACTTTTTTTTTTGGGGGGGGGGGGGTTACAGACTGTATTAAATGTTTTCCCATCAATTTTGCAGCTGGAAGCAGAAATTAATGGCTGCTTGGACTTCCTTCGTGCAGTGTACACAGTATTTGGGTTTACATTTAAACTGTTCCTCTCTACACGTCCTGAGCAGTACATGGGGGAACTGGAGGTCTGGCAGAAGGCTGAAAAGGTAAATCTTCTGTTCTATTGACTGGAACCTCTATATTCACTACATTTGACAGGTATTATGTCTACTGAAAATGACTTGATCCCGAGGCACCCCCTCTATCATAACTTCAAGCTGAAAACTATTTGAAGCATCTCGGTTGATCTGTGTGTCAAGCCATGTAGGAATATGATACTTTGCGCTCCATTGTTTGGCACACTGCGATCGAACCTGGGGATCTTGCATTGAAATTGTATTTATGCGGAACTTCACTCAATAAGGGAAATTCCGCTTCAAGTCCTTCAACCCCTCCTCTACCACATTTGGAATATCTGTTTTTTTTTGGGGGGGGGGGGGGGGGAGGGGGTATCTAGGCGATACAAGCGGAAATTCAGCCAACACATTGCAGGTCGCAGAAGACTGCGGGGACCATTCACAAAGCACAGCTTATACATGCGCTTTAAGCCGGCTGTGAACAGTCGGCTTCCCACACTAAATATGCTGGAACCAGGAATACGAAGACTGGAGATGAACCAGTTCTGGTGAGGACAGCGCTGGATTACTGGGCAGGTAAGTGCCCTTTTAAGTCAGTAGCTACTGCTGATTTGTTTTTTTGGGGAGGTTTCTTTTGTTTGTTTCTTGTGTGTTATATATATATATATATATATATATATATATATATATATATATATATATATTGAAGAACCGCTTTAAAGCTGGCCATAGAACAATTTTCGATGTGTTGCTGTGCCTGTTCTACAGAGATCGATTGTTAGGTCAGCCACTGATGATGTATTCTGACTGCGGAGACTTCTGCTGTCAGAATGCAATGTCCTAGCTGGGAGGATTCTTCTATCTACCTTGCTTGGTGTGGATGATGGAATATGTTGGTGTTTATTTTATTGTTTTAGTTTTTTCTTTTTTTTTTTTTTTTTTCTTTAAGAAAAAAAAAGATTCGTATATGGCCAGCTTTACTTACACTTTCTAGTCTTACGCCCCCTGTAACCACATTGTAAAGTGCTGCACAATCTGTTGGCACTATGTATATCCTATATTTAAAATATTAACTGGGGTGGAAATAACCAAGCAATGTGATATTTTCAGGGACGTGTGGAGAGAAATTTCCCAAAGGAAGCACGGTTAGCAATAAAACTCAAGGGATCAAACCCATCTCCCACTTTTTTGCAAAACCAGAAAACCTTTTTGCTTTGTTATGATGTATAATGAGAGCAGCTTCTGACTTCTTCATGAATTGTAACTACTTTTGCACTAATTTAAAGCACTGACTCATTTTAGGAGCTGGAGAGAAGTCTAAACAGTTTTGGCCTTCCTTGGGAGCTGAATCCAGGAGATGGAGCATTTTATGGTCCAAAGGTGAGAATCTTTCTTCAACAGGAAGGTGTATAGAAAGGGCCATAGATCTCAAAACTGAAGTATTGTTGGACAAAACCTCTAGAGTAGTTTATTTTACAAAGTATTAGTCTGAAAGCTGTCTTTATATTCAAGCTGAGAGGAGGATCCACACTGCGGCACAAAGAAGAAAAAAAAACCCACTAAATATGACTTTTAATAGGACCACGCCAAAAAGGATCACTATGTAAAGACAATCACATTTTTATTACATCATTCAATAAAACATCCCTGAAAAGGGACTAGATTACACATATAATAAAAAAAACTACAATTTAAAATCCATGTATGAGCCGTTACACAATGGGTTACATTATCCCTTCATAGTAGATAATTCTATATTCTAACTGCAAAATAGGAGGCTTCACTTAGGACATCTTGATTTGTTCAACACATTTCGAAGGACAGAGCTTGCATCTTCAGGAAGATGGTTTATATGTATATAACTGTCTAAAAACAGACATGAACTGGTTTGCAACAAACACCAAAAAGATATACAATGCCTATCAAAATAATACACATTTAATATAGTAGTAGGCTGTAAGCAACATTCACAGACCTATATGAGGAGATGTAAGACAACAGGCCACCTGGATGGATGGACCAGAGACCCCCAATCCTCCACAGGACCCAACAGTCGTGTAATGCGGTAAGCAAACCTCTAGAAAGAGAAAAGAAAAAAAGTCAGGGTATGATAGACGACAACCTGCTAATGGGGATAATCCATACATGTGACCAAGGAACAGGCTAAATCATTTTGAAAGGGCCCTCTATGGTGGACTATATTAAACTCCCATGTGTCTCGTAGTACCAACTACACCCTAACTCCCCATATAGTTGGTGCTACGGGGCACTTAGGATTTTTATTTATCCCTCTGTTGATTTGCCCACACTATATTGTGACTTTTATATTAGGGGGGTCTACAGGTACTCCATCCTAGGGGGCCCTCTTTCAAAATGATTTAGCCTCTAGCTTGGTCTTATGTGTGGATTATCCCCACGATTACAGCTTCCCGACAGGATAACTCAGGCGAGTTTGGAGTCTTGTCCAAACCAAACATCAACGCACTGGAATAGGAGACCCGTGCGGATCCCATCGAGAGGGGAGACTCTCAGGGTGAAGCCGAGGTGTTTTGAAGGGAGATTCCTTCTTCCTCAGAGCTGAGGAAGAAGGGATCTTCCTTCGAAACGTGTCAGCTTCATCCTGAGAGTCTCCCCTCTCGATGGGAACCGCACGGGTCTCCTATTCCAGTGCGTTGATATTGGATTTTATGCCTTAATTATTGCTACTTTTAGGAGTATACATCTCAATTCAATAAATTCACTCTTTGCTTTCTGAGGTAATGCGCAAGGTTGGTGCTCTTTTTGTTTTTGTTCCTCGTTACAGTTTTTATTGGGTTTTCCCAGCCTTGTGTTAGAGCTGCACAACCTTTGATCGGCTATTGGATGAACTTACATATATTGTTTCATCCGCTGATTTCTGATCTGGGTCTCTGAGCGCAGGAGGTTTTGTATCTGTTTCCTCTTGTCCAAACCCGCCTGAGCTCATCACTGATGGTCACCTGTGAAACGGGTTCATACCTTTTATTGTAGCTGTAGGATGACACGTGGTTGGGGGATACTTCCATCTGCAAGAGTAGAACATGTGGAACAAACTGAGATTTTGTTTTTTGGCCACAACTTTTGCCTATAATTTGGTTTCACACCAGTATACTAGGTGTTGACAGAGGAAGAGGAGGAAAGATGCTTCTATTACTATATTTTAAAAACTGAGGCAGTAGCTATAGGTTAGGAGGGAAAATACATGTACTTTAAAGAGTTCCCTAAAATTGTCTGACAAACAATGTGATCGCATAGGTAGGCACAGCGCTTGATTACTAAAACCTATCTGTAGTCAAACCTTTTTTCAGGATTTGGAAATCATAGAGGAGGGTTAGAACCCCTTTCACTTTTTTATTTTTTCGTGTTGCTGTCTGGGTTCCTGCTGGGGAGATTTACTCGGTCATGTGACTATTGTCATGAGAGGAAGATGAGAAATGCAAAAAATGGTTAACATGGAAATCTGGACTTGAGGGCAAATCCTTCAGCTGCCTTCAGTAGCCACAGATTCCTTTGTCATCTGTCCATTGCTACAACACGACAAAGCAATGCAAATTACAGATGGGTAGCTTGCCTAGACCGGGTGTACCAGTACAGAGGTAATGATGATGTGTGAGGACTGTGTATGGTCCTAGGTTGCTAGACTCCTGATGGTGATGGTGGGAAGTTGTTTGATCAGAAAATGAATTTGTGAATGCATGATGAGGAATGTACTAGATGGTAGCACAACCTGATCATTTGTTTAAAGCTTGGATTGGTTCTCCATTTGACACCATGACAGCTCTGAGGTTATGTTGCTCAATATGTTTGTTGTCGCCAACTGCCAACAGGTCTTACACCATCCAAAGTTATGAACATGACTGTTTTTTATTCTGGACATTTGCCATGAGCGCTCTGATCTTCTTTTTATACCATCCAAAATGTCCAGATTATTTAACTAGTTTTTTCCTCCTGCAGATTGACATCCAAATTCAGGATGCAATGTGCCGCTACCATCAGTGTGCCACCATTCAACTTGACTTCCAGCTCCCCGTCCGCTTCAACCTCACATACACAAGGTACGATCTCTGTCTAGCAGATTACTGAAATTTGTGTCAAGCGAACAGGAAATGACATGCTTTTGTTTTGACGTGAGAAAACTATTAAGTTTCTGTTGCCACAACTGATGCCAAGTGCCCAAGGCTCTTCCCACAGATTGGCATAGAAAGATAAAATCTGCACTACACTTATGACACGGGGTAATTACTACTTTACTTGCCATATGTGATGAAATCCTTATAGGCTGCAGTGTGGACACGTATGAAGTCTATTTCATGTATGTATTTCACTTTTTTTAATGTTCCTCTAAACCATTTTATATAGTAACAGAGCTTCATGGATATTCTAGTACTCTTCCCTGCCAGTCTTTGGATGGTGTGAGGTTCAAAATATCTTTAGTTTTTTTTTGTTTTGTTTTTTTTAAGAAAAGTTCTGGTGAACAACGCAAAATGTTTTCCTATAATAGGAAAATAGGGTGACTCTTCCCACAGGGAACAGCAATAACATTCTAACGGTGGTTCAAATCCTTCCCTACTCTAGTCAAGACCTAAAACAAATTTTTTGTTCTAGAGCTTTTGCTTTAAATCGGAAGAAAAACAAACCATTTTATAACCCAGTTAAAGCATTACCTATTCACTTGCACCTTGATGTGTGGGAAAGCCCTAGTAAGGGGAAGGGGGTCATTTAAAGGATAAGTTCACCTTTTAGAACATGTATTTAGGATACAACATGTTCTAGTACACAACACCCCACCCCCTGTGTGACAGCAGTCAGGTTTCTTATCCACGCACCCACTGTCAAATTTGAAAACAGAGTGGCACTACGGGGCCACCCGCCACCATATATCAGATATACTGCTACACGGCAGGATGGGTGCGCAAAATCGTGTGTGTGTGTGTGTGTATATATATATATATATATACGTGGTTTTGCATTTCTGGGTAGGGGGCGCGCGCTTTACCCGCGCTGCTGTTGGCGGATGTCAATCACTGGGTCCCAGCTGGTGATTACTGACAATCACTGATGGGGAGGAAGACGGTTTTGTTTACAAACCGTGTTCTTCCCTGTCAGCTCGGGCATACTGCTTGGGAAGCACACACCCCTGCCCCCTATTAAAACACTCCCTGCACACAGTTAACCCTTTGATCGCCCCTCACATTAACCCCTTCCTGCCCAGTGCCATTAGTACAGTGTCAATGCTCTTTTTTTAGCACTGATCACAGTATTGGTGTCACTGGGGATTTCAGTGACAGTTAGTTCCCCCCCCTCCCCCCAGTGTCAAAATGCTCGCCGCATTCTCGCTAAAAGTCGCTGATTGCCTCCGTTACTAGAAAATCCCAGTATATATATCACCATTTGTGAACGATATAACTTTCACGTAAACCAATTAATTTTCACGTATTGGGATTTTTTTTTAGCAAAGACATGGAGCAGAATACATTTTGGCCTAAATTTAACAAAATTAGATTTTTTAAATTTTTTTACTGGACATGTTTAATAGCAAAAAGTCCAAAATGTTGTTTTTTTTCTCAATATTGTCACTTTTTTTTTTTTTTTTTTTTTGCTTACAGTGCAAAAAATTAAAAATGCACAGGCGAGCAAATACCACCAAAAGAAAGCTGAATTTGTGGGGTAAAGAAAGGGCCGTAAATTTCATCTGAGTGCAGCGTTGCATGAGTGCACAATTGCCAGTTAAAATAACGCAGCAGCGTAATGCAAAAAATGGCCTGGTCAAGAGGGGGTAAATCCTCAGGAGGGCAAGGGGTTAAAGTGGAGCTCTACCCAAAAGGGGAAGTGCCGTTTTAAGCCTTTGTCCTCTGCTCCCCATTAAGGATTGGCACCTTTGGGGAGCGGGTACCCAAATTTGACAGGTACCCGCTCCTACTTCCGCTGCGATCGCCTAGGCGATCGGAAGTGGAAGTTGTCCTCCCAGAAGACGGCCGGTGAAACCAGCTGTGGTGAGGACACTGCGGGACCGAGGGACAGGTAAGTGGCTGTATTTTAAAAGTCAGCAGCTACAATTTTTGTAGCTGCTGACTTTTATTTAAATTTTTTATTTCAGGTGGAACTCTGCTTTAAATGACCTGCAAGCTCGCTGATCAGCACGATCGTAGTTCAATTACACTGCTTACAGCTCTGTAATTGAAAGCCACTACAGAGGTGTAGGCAACAGAGCTGTAGGTAGTGTGCAGGAGCCTGACATTGCACGCAGGTGCAATACTTTCGCAGGTTCCTGTTTTTAAAAGAAAATAAATGCACTTTTTTTTTTCACATATAAAAAAGTGCAGCGCTAATGTATTAAAACATGCAAAATATCAAAGTGCAAGAGTATATAACTGCAAAACGCAGGCAGGGTATAATTTTATGCTGCCCCTTATAGTCTCAATTGACACAAATGCTTAGTTCACAATCTCCCAGTGAGTAGGGTGAAGTGAAGAATCAAATGGATCCCTGTTGACACACGGTGATAGCCAAAAAAAAAAGGTGATATGTGGTGATATCCAAAATTGATAAAAGATTGTGCACTCACCAGATGCACAACTAATATGCGCATGTAAGAGAAAACCCCTCTCAAGGTATGATTCCAGGACTCATCTGAAGCAAGGTCTGGTCAATTTCTGCGTTGTAGACCCTCAGCTGTCATGCATGGCTCTGTCCCCTATTGCTCTTTGCTCTGCAGGTAGTTGGAAGCTCACCAGAGAGCCCCTATAATGAAGTATGTCCCATGATGTGCAGGCTGCTGGATTCTGTAGAAATCTTCACTGTAGGGCTGCCCTGTCCTCTTCCCGCTTCTGAACTTTCAGCACTGTGGGAATTAATAGCTTTGGGTTGCCAGGCTCAGCTGCACTTTTTTTTTACCTACGAAAATATGTGCATTTATTATTTTTTTACATAGCCTCCCTAGCGGTCTGATTATGTCCGTATTTCTGTGCTCAAAGCGGTACATTTTTTTGCATGGAAATATGTATTTTTTTTTTTTTATTGTAGGCCTGTAATTTTTAGAAATAACTCACTGAAATCTGTCCAAACAAGAGTCTAGTAAACATCCCGGGTATGATAAAACTTGAAACACGAAATCATAAATTATAATTTAATCATAAAAAATAATATAATAATAAATTTAATTCAATAATATAATCAAACCAAAAACACTGAAATTTGAAATATAGCGCCAAGTTAGCACATCGCTGAGCAAAGTCGCAGAATCGTTTTCAGTGTCTGATGATGAATTTCCCCCATGAATCATTATCACTCAATTCTGCAAGTGGTTCTGATTTACTATCGCTGTTCTCTAGCCGGTCTAAAACCGATTTTGACCTAAAAGGACGCTTTTTGGATGCCATGGACTTTTCTCAGTTTCCAGGCAGAAAGAACAGTAAAAATGCAGGCAGGGCGCAGGACAAAGCACTCGGGACAATGTATGTGAAATGGTTTGATACAGGAATGTTTTACTATGTGATTTTAGTGAATGTCACTTTTTGACATTTTTAAATTTCCCGCCGTTCCGTCCCCCGTATGTCCCGACGTCGCAGGGGACGGAACCCGGAAGACAGATGCCGGCATCAGCCGGAGGACATTGCCGGGGACACTGCAGGAGGGACATCGCGGGAGCACAGGACAAGGTAAGTGCAGGAGGGATCCCGGAGCAGTGCCGCATGGTATTCCCGAGTGTAGCTTGGGGTTACCGCTTGTGGTACTGAAACTTTACCCCGAGCTACACTCGGGAATACCGCCAGGGAGGTTAAAGGTGAACTTAAAGTGGTTGTAAAGGCTAAAGGTTTTTCCCCTTCATGCATTCTATGCATGCAGCAGTATGCCCAGCCCCCTCAATACTTGAGCCTCAACACGATCCAGCGATATGAATGAAGCCTTTGCTCTCCCGGATACTGTGATCTGCTGTGTCCAGGCGATGTAGTGATCACTAGGCTGCCGGGTGTGCGCTCCGTGACCTGTGCAGGGGGGTGCTGATTCCAGCTTTGGCAAAGCTTCCTGTTTGCTCTCTATATGCAAAGGGAAGGATGGGAAGAGAGGTTAAGGCAGGCCATAGACGGCCCGTTTATCGGCTGAATTTTCGTCCGATAACGGAAAATCGGTTGGCCCCGTTGCCGCCGATGCCACCAATGTCAATGAAAAATGGCCGTTTTTCGTGGATTTTCAAGCATGACTGATAAAAATAAATGTGAAGATCTACGAAAAACTGACTTTTTCGTGCGGACGAATATCTACAACTATTGTTTATCAACATAGTCTATGGCCTGCATTAGTAAGGTTGAATGGAGCAGTGTTTTGCTTTGTACTGATTGACTGGCCATGGACAATTCTTATAGGACACCTTCAGTAAACAGTGTTGTCAGAACATCTGATGTGCTTTTTCCACATAAAGTAGTTGAAGGATGACTGTTCCTGAAGAATTCTCCTGCAAAAATAGGTCCTCTCTATTTTTAATGCTTATGGGTTCCTTTTTATTGAATATAAAAATGTCATTGCAGTGGTATTCTGCTTCACCCACTAGTCCTGGGTCTTCAGGTCTCTCCTATTTACAACAAAGCAGTAAAGCTAGAAGGCATGATGTTGAATTATTCTATATGGTGGTCAGTGTGTCTTCAGCACCCAGCCTGGTCCAATATAGTACAGAAACCATCATTCCCAATCGGTTGTTCTGCACAAGATGGCATTATTACTACGAAGCTGTCAGTATTGATAAGGCGATCTCTTGTAGCACCTGGATCTATGATCTGATATTCATGAAATATACACACCAGGGGTGGACTGACAACTCATGGGGCCCCCGGGCAATAGGGGATCATGGGGCCCCTGTGTCCTTGCCCAAACTCAAAAAAGCCTATGAAAAAGGTATCAGGGGCATCTCATGGGGCCCCCTACTGACCCCAGGCCCTCAGGCAGTGCCTGAGTTTCCAAATGGTCAGTCCGCCCCTGATACACACCCATAGATCACCTTCATCTGTGCGGCATCAGGCAAATTGGTAAAACCTGAAGAAGTAAAAACAAACTTCAGTACTGATCAAGTTACAGTTTAAAATAGAACTTAATGTATGACAGAAGATTAACATGGGGGAGATTTACTAAAACTGGTGCACATAGAATGTGGTGCTGCTGTACAAGGCAGCCAATCAGCTTCCACGTTTTCTTTGTCAAACCGTAATTGAACAAGCTGAAGTTACCATACACAGCCGCTCCGGAGTCTTTGGGCCCCAGTTTTAGTAAATCTTCTCCCATAATGTACATTTCCTGTCTGATAGAATTTACACAATATCATAAAGGCATATTTGTCAAAAATTGATAACTGAAAAGTACATCTATTAATGTTTATATATCTTTCGTTATTGAGCTGAAAGAAGTAAACAATGGGCTTAACCCCTCACCCTCCTGAGGATTTATCCCCCCTTCCTGACCAGGCCATTTTTTGTTGCGTTACGGTTTTGCAGTACTTTAACTGACAATTGCGCGGTCATGCAACGCTGCACCCAAATTAAATTTTACGCCCTTTTCCCCCCCCACAAATAGCTTTCTTCCGGTGGCATTTGATTGCCTCTACGTTTATTTTTTGTGCTGTAAAGAAAAAAAGACAGACAAGTTTGAGAGAAAAACAATATTTTTGACTTTTTGCTATTAAACATGTCCAGTAAAAAATTTAAAAAATCAAATTTCATCATAAATTTGGGCCAAAATGTATTCTGCGACATGTCTTTGCTGAAATCCCAATAAGGGTAAATTGGTTTATGTGAAAGTTTTATATTGTCTGCAGTGGTAGTATAGATACTGGAATTTTTTTTTTTCCCTTCTACTAGTACTGGCGGTGATCTGCAACTTATAGCGGGACTGCAGTGGACATTCTGGCACTGGGGGGAATTGACTTGGTGTCACTGACTTCTCCAGTGACACCAATGCAGTGATCAGTGCTAAACAAAAGCACTGACACTATACTAATGGTACTGGGCAGGAAGGGGTTAACATGAGGGGGCGATCAAAGGGTTAACTGTGTGCTGGGAGTGTTTTACTAGGTGGTGGTGTTTGTGTGCTTCACTGTAATCACACTGCTCTGAATGGCTGTACTGTGCACAGCCATCCAGAGCAGCGTGCCCGAGCTGACAGGGAGGAGAACTGTTAGTAAACAAAACAGTCCTCCCCGTGGGAGATGCACGGTAATCACTGGCCGGGACCGTGTGATTAACGGCCGCGGCTTGCGCACAAACTCTATCCAGAACTGCGAAATCACATATATATCATGAATTTGCGCACCCCTGCTACCCTGTAGTAGTATATCTGCTATAGGGCAGCAGGGAAAACTGTTAAAGCAGGCCATAGATGAGTCGAAAATGGAACACAAATTCTGCGTTGTTTTTTTCATCATTAGTGTGCAATCAAAAGTGTCTTTTCCAATTACAGATCTAAGAGGGGAAAAAAGGTACACTGGCTTGGTGATTAAGCAAACTTGCATTGCCGCTCTCCATCCGGAGATATCCAATGCAAACTAAGGACATGAGGCTGTGAGCAGACCAAGGGTGCAGGGGCCGATGCATAGAATGGATCTGTGTACTTTGTAAAGATCTGTGTATTGTGTTATCACTGTATAGATGGTGAAGATAAATTACACAATAACCTTTCGGATTGGTTCAGTCACATGGGCCAGGGATTAGACTGAAACTAAATGAAGAATAGGATTTATCCAAATGACCACGAGCCTTGACTTTTTGTGTTTGCTTGATGCACCCATTTGGATTTGTTTATAGAAGTGGGACTTTCCAAAGCACATTGAAGGACATAACTTAAAGGTGTTTTGTACCCCTATTTATTTTTTTTAATGCATTTTTCACTTCAACTTATGCAATTTTAAATACATAAACAGATAATAACATTGTTTCTATGTGTTAATAACCGTCAGGCTAGGTACACACCTATGCGGTTTGTGTCTGAGCTGTTTTTGCCAGGTTTTTGATGCATTTTTTAATTTTTCTTGTTGCTAGGCAGGTTTAAAATGCATCAAAAACACAATACATGATTTTCTGCAGTGTTTCCATTGAAGTCTATAGAACCAAAAAAAGTCCCTGACCCTTTCCAAAAACCGCAGCAGGTGAAAAGGCAGAGATGTGAACGTGTCCCACAGGAAATCATGTTAAATGGACTGTAGTGCGTTTCTGCAAAATGCTGCAGAAAACGATTAGGTGTGAACCTGGGGTTAAGGTTTGTGTATACTTAAGCATGTTGAAAAATGCTGTGTTTTTTTTTTACTGATCTGAAATGAAATGCATTGTTTTCTATGGGACATTGTACACAGCTGAGTAACGATCAGCAATACCACATGGAGTATAAACTGTAAAATAAAAATAAAATATTTGCAAAAATTCACTCGTTTAGGCTTCTTGCATACAGATATCATAATTTCCTGCTGTTTACTCAGAAACGTGTGACGCTGTGTGCAAGGGGCCACAATACTGGCAATGAAGTGTGCAAGGGGCCACAATACTGGCAATGAAGTGTGCAAGGGGCCACAATACTGGCAATGAAGAGTGAGTGGGAAACCTAAAATTCATGGATATCAGTAACGTTTTGACTGCTGAAGCCAGATTGAAAAGTCGATGTGTTTATTATACAAGCAGGTATTCAGATCTTCATGCAGGGAGAGCAGAACATTACATAGTGTTGGATTCAAAGTAATGCTCTAACTGTCTTGGAAATCTACGATAGGATGGGTGGGAGCCTAGCTATCTGACTGCTTTTGAAGTTTCATTCTGGTTTCTGGTGGAGTTTATTGAAATGTAAACGGACATTCACACCACCATGTTAATTCCCATAGCTCCTTTGGATGGCAATCTTCCCAGCTCGGGGTGTAGATGGCATTCTAACACAAGAAATACGGCTGTTGTACAATAAGACATCTAATAACAGAATATACATTCAATACATCCACTTCATCAAAATTAAATGTTTGATATATAAAATGGCCGTTCCATATTCCTTTACAAGAGGAATTTTACTAGTCTACGCTTCCACCTTTACTCGCCTATACTCCACATTACTCAGGTCTTTACACAGTTTTTGGCCTCTTGCACTCGGGCATCACAAGTAAATGATGACACTTGTGTACAAGGGGCCTAATTGTGGTTCACATGAGACATGATTGCACAACTCCACAGAATGTGTGATGGAAACGTATGCCTTTCACTGGAAGGGTTTGTATTTTGACTGTCGGGTAACCGTTGTTGTGAAATGAGCGTGTTACTAAGCTGGGCCCCTTCTGTTTCCTGGTACAGTAAAGAGGATGGTACAGCAGAGAGACCAGTCATGATCCATCGTGCTATACTTGGCTCTGTGGAGAGGATGTTGGCTATTCTGGCAGAGAACTACGCCGGGAAGTGGTAAGAGAATTACATGTGTACGTCGGCTGATAAATGAGTCATTTCCACTAGCTGGGCAGCCACTGATAGCTGTTTTGCACGCCGTCGAAATATGTCACTGGCAGCAGATAATCCTAATCTTTTGTCTGTGAGCTGCATCCTTCACAATGAGCTCCACATGACAGACATGGAAGGTTACTGGAGCAGAGAGATCATAATGAAGGTGCTGCGCACCTTATCTGATCCCACATCAAACCCATGTCTGTGGTGGTGGACATACCCAGCTGAATCCATGAAAACGATGCACGGAGTTTCTGATGTGTGCACACAAGGGTGACCAGGGCTGCTGTTTGCTGCATTCAGTGGTGGTTATATGGTGCCTCTGGACACAGCAACAGTGTGTGCACAAACCGGCCTGGCTTGTATGCGGTTATAGCCACAAACATGCCAACCATTGGCACACATTGGGGTTACTAAAACTGGAGAGTGCAAAATCTGGTGCAGCCCTGCAGAGAGAACTAAGCTGATTGGCTGCCATGCACAGCTGTACCAGATTCTGCACTCTCCAGTTCTAGTAAATCAACCCCTTGGCTTCGAGGATTGATCAGAGGCTCTGTTTGCATGTAACCAATCAGATGAGCAGTAACATGTGACAGCACTGGCTATTTGGTTTGTACACGTTTCAGAGTGAGAGCTGCTGCCGGTCATACACTGTGTGTGCAGAAACTGTAGAAAACTGCAACCATTAGCAAATGACTAAAGTTAAAGCACACAAGGGAGATGTGTTACCTAATAAAGGATTGTTCACTCTGTTCAGACAACGTTGTGATTCATGTACCTCTTGGTCACATTGTACAGCCCAATGTAGAGTAAAGGCCAGCACTCCAACCATGTGCATTGTACAGCAAGGCCACACTTTCCTGTTTCCGTTTGATTAGTGCCTGGATCACATGTCGTGCCTGGAATCATAAAAAAAAATCACATTAGTGGATTATTAGCCCGTGCTACCATGTGACACAAAGCGTAAATATGAATTAGTAGCGTCTTCTGCCTGGCAAAGCTGAGAGGTCGGATTAACGTGGTTCTAAAGGCTGAAGGTTCTTACCTTTTCATGCATTCAATGGATGAAGGTAAAAAAAAAAACCTGTGTGCTGTTCCCCCCCACAGTCCCCCCTAGTACTTACCGGAGCCCCCTCTTGAGCCAGCAATGTGCATGGGAGCCTCGCTTGTCCCGAATCTTTCTTCTCATTGGTGGAGACACAGCTGTAGGAGCCATTGGCTTCCTCTGCTCTGTAAGGAGAGAACAGGGGTGGGGTCGAGCTTCGCCTCATGAATGCATAGAGCAGGACTCAATAGTGATCAAGAACCAGTGTCCCTATAGCAAGTAGCTTGTTATTGAGGACACTGGTCAAGGGGGAGGAGCCAGGAGTGTCAGTGGGGGACCTGAAATGAGTAAGATTGGGGCTGCTCTGTACAAAACCACACAGCAGGCAAGTATAACAGGTTTGTTTTAAAATATTAAAAAATGGAGCTTTAATATCACTTTAAGGATAAGTTCACCTTTAAGGAAAAAAATACAAAATGCACATATTTTTGCAGTTAAAGTGGAGTTCCACCCAAAAGGGGAAGTTCCGTTTTAAAGACTGGTTCCCCTGCTCCCCATTGAGGATTGGCACCTTTGGGGAGCGAGTACCTGAAATTGACAGGTACCCACTTCCACTGCGATCGCCTAGGCACTTGGAAGGGGACGTTGTCCTCCCAGAAGACTTCCAGGGCCATTCACAAAGCGCAGTGCTTCTCGCACATGCACAGTGGACACCCGGCTGTAAAGCCGCAAGCTGTCACAGCCGGGTGCCTACGCTGAAGATGCCAGCAGTGGTGAGGACACCGCTGGACCGGGGGCCAGGTAAGTGGCTGTAGTCTTCTGTGATATGTGACAGGTCCCAGAAGACTACGGGGCCATTCAAGAAGTGCAGCGCTTCTCGCACATGTGCAGTGGGCACCCGGCTGTCGAGCCGCAAACTGTCACAGCCGGGTGCCCACACTGAAGATGCCGGCGCCTGGAACACCAGACCGCTGTTGAAATGGGCTGCGGGGGACACACCACAGGCTCACGGGACAGGTAAGTGGCTGGTTTTTTTTTTTAAAAGGCAGCAGCTACCGATTTTGTAGCTGCTGACCTTTATTTTTTTAGAGTGAGTGGAACTCCGCTTTAAGAGCATTTTTTTTTATTTATTTTTTTTCCCTGAAGCCTGCAAAGCATTGCATCTGCAATGAGTGGATCATGAGCACAATGTCAGATTCCTGCAGACACTTCAGCTCTGTATGGACTGTCCGTATCCAAGCTGTAAGAAGTGTGAATGGACAATGACGTGCTGATCGGTATGATATGTGCAAACCTCTAACCATGGACAATTCTCATCCGATAATTCTGCACTCTATCTTTTGTAGGCCGTTATGGTTGTCACCATTCCAGGTCATGGTGATACCTACAGGAGCCAGCACTGAGGATTATGCCAAGGAGGTAATATTGTACTGTTTTCTCTATTCATTGCTGCTCTCATAAAAGCTCAATTCTAGCCATTGTTTGATGTTTTGGACAAAGTGGGGAAAAGATAGAATTTGCGCTCTGTGCCTCCATGAGATCGCAGGTGATGAAGAATTAGAACACAGACTGCAACAAAACACTTCAGTATAATGGGGAGGGTTAGAACCTCTGTCAGGGTTTTATTGCCATCTTTCTTTCCCAGCAACAGATAAGAGGTGAAATCTTCCTAACAGGCCGTATTAACACGACTTTGTTTTGGATGGACTTTGGGAATACAAATTCAAACATAGGACAAGGGCTTACTAGGCTTTCTATTCATTTACTATCAGTGGCGTATTTTGCATGTTCTCAGCTCAGCAATCACAAGTCAAGGCACCCTGTGCTGATAGATATCCGAAAACTCCCCCTTCTACCTAAACATTTCCTTCATGTGCAGAAATGACAAATGAACTCCCTCTGCCCTGGAGCCAAGTATCTGCACAGCCTTTTCGGGACACTTTGCGGATGCAGGTGACACTGTGCCGATATATAGTCGGCCTAACTGCACTGGGGATCATCAGCAGTTCCTTTGAGTTCCAGTGGGGGGTTTAGGCTCAGGCTGTGTCTGCCGGCTATCTGTGATTGCAACCACCTAGTACTAAGCTCAGGAACTGAAACAACTGGCTTCTGGATTAAAAAAAAAAAAAAAAAAAAAAGTGCCAGTGTTGTGCAGACTGGCTAGGCCTTGCGAGCTGGTAACTCAAATTGCCCTGGTCTTGGCCAGAAGGCCCAACCCTAAAATCAGGGGGCACTGAGCTCCTCTGAACCCTCCACACACCTTGCATTTATTTATATAGCGCCGTTACTTTACATACAGTCAGGTCCATAAGTATTGGGACATCGACACAATTCTAACATTTTTGGCTCCATACACCACCACAATGGATTTGAAATGAAACAAACAAGATGTGCTTTAACTGCAGGCTGTCAGCTTTAATTTGAGGGTATTTCCATCCAAATCAGGTGAACGTTGTAGGAATTACAACAGTTTGCACAGGTGCCTCCCACTTGTTAAGGGACCAAAAGTAATGGGACAGAATAATAATCATAAATCAAACTTTCACTTTTTAATACTTGGTTGCAAATCCTTTGCAGTCAATTACAGCCTGAAGTGTGGAACGCATAGACATCACCAGACGCTGGGTTTCATCCCTGGTGATGCTCTGCCAGGCCTCTACTGCAACTGTCTTCAGTTCCTGCTTGTTCTTGGGGCATTTTCCCTTCAGTTTTGTCTTCAGCAAGTGAAATGCATGCTCAATCGGATTCAGGTCAGGTGATTGACTTGGCCATTGCATAACATTCCACTTCTTTCCCTTAACAAACTCTTTGGTTGCTTTTGCAGTCTGCTTTGGGTCATTGTCCATCTGCACTGTGAAGCGTCCAATAAGTTCTGAAGCATTTGGCTGAATATGAGCAGATAATATTCCCGAAACACTTCAGAATTCATCCGGCTGCTTTTGTCAGCAGTCACATCATCAATAAATACAAGAGAAGCAGTTCCATTGGCAGCCATACATGCCCACGCCATGACACTACCACCACCATGCTTCACTGATGAGGTGGTTTGCTTAGGATCATGAGCAGTTCCTTCTCCATACTCTTCTCTTCCCATCACTCTGGTACAAGTTGATCTCGGTCTCATCTGTCCATAGGATGTTGTTCCAGAACTGTGAAGGCTTTTTTACATGTCGTTTGGCAAACTCTAATCTGGCCTTCCTGTTTTTGAGGCTCACCAATGGTTTCCATCTTCTGGTGAACCCTCTGTATTCACTCTGGTGAAGTCTTCTCTTGATTGTTGACTTTGACACACATACACCTACCTCCTGGAGAGTGTTTCTTGATCTGGCCAACTGTTGTGAAGGGTGTTTTCTTCACCAGGGAAAGAATTCTTCGGTCATCCACCACAGTTGTTTTCCGTGGTCTTCCGGGTCTTTTGGTGTTGCTGAGCTCACCGGTGCATTCCTTCTTTTTAAGAATGTTCCAAACAGTTGTTTTGGCCACGCCTAATGTTTTTGCTATCTCTCTGATGGGTTTGTTTTGTTTTTTCAGCCTAATGATGGCTTCACTGATAGTGACAGCTCTTTGGATCTCATCTTGAGAGTTGACGGCAACAGATTCCAAATGCAAATAGCACACTTGAAATGAACTCTGGACCTTTTATCTGCTCATTGTAATTGGGATAATGAGGGAATAACACACACCTGGCCATGGAACAGCTGAGAAGCCAATTGTCCCATTACTTTTGGTCCCTTAACAAATGGGAGGTACATATGCAAACTGTTGTAATTCCTACACCGTTCACCTGATTTGGATGTAAATACCCTCAAATTAAAGCTGACAGTGTGCAGTTAAAGGACATCTTGTTAGTTTCATTTCAAATCCATTGTGGTGGTGTATAGAGCCAAAAATGTTAGAATTGTGTCGATGTCCCAATATTTATGGACCTGACTGTATATATATATAGTGTACATTCACATCAGTCCCTAACCCTCAAGGGGTGTACAATCTAAGGTCCCTAACTCACATTCATACACATACTAATTTAGACAGGAGCCAATTAACCTACCAGCATGTCTTTGGAGAGTGGGGGGAAACCGGACTACCCTGAGGAAACACACGCAGGCACAGGGAGAACATGCAAACTCCAGGCAGGTGGTGTTGTGGTTGGGATTCGAACCAACGACCCGAGTACTGCCAGGCGGAAGTGTGAACTATTTAGCCACTGTGATAAAAAAAAAAAAACACGCCGCTAGCATTAAGGTGAAACCTCAGACCCTTTTAACCACTTGCCCTCCTGAGGATTTACCCCTTAATGACCAGGCCTCTTTTTGCTACTCGGCGCTGCACTAATTCAACTGATAATTGCGCGGTCATGCAATGCTGCACCCAAACGAAAATTTACGTCCTTTTTTTCACACAAATAGAGCTTTCTTTCGGTGGTATTTGATCACCTGTACACTTTTTATTTTTCACGCTATAAACAAAAAAAGGCCAAAAATTTTGAAGAAAAAACTATATTTTTTACTTTTAGCTATAAAAAATATATAGTAACCTCAAAGTTGGTTATAAATTTAGGCCAAAATGTATTCTGCTCCATGTTTTTGGTAAAAAAAAATCCCAATAAGTGTATATTGATTGCTTTGTGTGGAAGTTATAGCGTCTACAAACTATGATATAGATACTGCAATTTACGACATTTTTTTGCTATACAGCGCTGCGCTAGTTTAGAAGACAATTGCGCAGTCATGCAATACGGTACATAAATGAAATTTACATCCTTTTTTTTTCCCCACAAATTGAGCTTTCTTTCGGTGGTATTTTTTTGCCTGTGCGGTTTTTTATTTTTTGTGCTATAAAAAAAAAAGGCTGACAATTTTGAGGAAAAAAAACAATATTTTGGACTTTTTGCTGTAAAACATGTCCAGCAAACAAAAATTTAAAAATCAAATTTAGTCATAAATTTCTGCCACGTCTTTGCTACAAAAAAAAAAAAAAAACCCAATACGCGTAAATTAATTGGTTTACATGAAAGTTATAGTGTTTACAAATGGCGGGAAAGATACTGGGATTTTTAGGGTTTTTTTATACTAATAATGGCGGCGATCAGCGACTTATGGCGGGACTGCGGTGGACATTCTGACATTGGGGGGTACTGACTTGGGGTCACTGACATCCCCAGTGACACCAATACAGTGATTAGTGCAAAAAAAAAAACCACTGTACTAATGGCACTGGGGAGGAAGGGGTTAAGGTTATTTTTCAGGGAAAGGGTTAACTGTGTGTGGGGAGTGTTTTTACTAGGGGGCGGGGGGGGGGGGGGGGTGTACTGCAGGGAACACTGCTGATCCGGAGAGAGAAACTCTTCTGTCCCGATCACCCTGTCCTGGAGCTGTCAGGGAACTGACAGAAAGCACAGCTACTGCAGCTCTGCTCTCTGTCAGCGATTGCCACCAATCGCCAGGACATAGCCGGTAACGACCGGCTGTGACCCGGCGACTGACATCCGCGGGACAGGTAGTGCGGTGGCGCGCCTCGCGCGTGCCCCCTACCTGTTTACAAAACGCACGTTTTAAACTGTGCTTTTGCCCAGCCGTGCCGCCGTATTTATACAGTGGCTGGGCGGCATGTGGTTAATGTTTGTTCTCAGCACTGCATTTCTGCATTACATATTTATTTAAAATGAAAAAACATATAAGAGTAGGCGCTAAGGAGCACTATAAGTGATACAATATAGTGGTATTGTCTAATTATGACGTATTGGTATAGTGAACATAAACAAAGTGAATGAATAAAGTGACTTTCAGTGATCCATGTATGACACAATCTAGTCCAAATGCAAAAGATGATAAATAAATATAAGTGAAATCCGTGACTCGGTGATGGGAAGCTTTTGTATAATATTGCACTAACCAGAAGCGCAATATAAATCCCGTCATGGTCATCTGGATACGGATGGGGGTATCACGAGTCATCTGGCACATGTCAGCAAGTCAGGTGCTCAGCAGACCTCACTGACAGGTTCCAGGGGCATCACGTCCGATGTTAGAGACCAATACTGGGGTGTATAACAGGACTCCACCTTAGGGGCTCGTTGAATAACGAGCCAGAAAAAGTATCTTTGATAGTGCAGTATTTTTTATTATTCAAGGAATGTGGTATAGGTAATACAAATGCACTCACATCTGGCTACAAGCAATAATAAATTCCTCGCGTCATCACATTTTTTATCAAATCTTTTTATCCTTTCCAGTTTTACTTTTCTATGATTCGACTATTTTAAATAATGATTACATTTATTATTATAGTTATTTAATCTGAGATCTTCATTATATTTATCTCATTCCTTAGTCATTTTTTATATCTTCTATGTATGATTAAATATCATCTTATGTTTTTGTATTGCTGTTATGGACTTTATTTCTGGATATATCTTGTTATCCTGCACTGTAAGCTGTTTTTCACCTTTCCATTATCATGTGACCAGGTACAACAGGTCATTCATGAGCGTGGCTTCATGGTGGATGTGGATACGGACCAAGGCACCACTTTCAGCAAGAAAATCCGCAAGGCTCAGCTGGCTCAGTACAATTTCATTCTTGGTACGTTGTATTTATTTTCATATCACCATGGTTACAGAACAAATCTACCATAATGTATAGATCAAGGCAAAGGGCCATGCAAAGATGTTGCAAAAGGAGCTGAGCTGTGGCAAATATTCCCCCCTATAGCAGTGTGAGGCGGGGGTTATTAGCCTCCAGCCCATTGGGAACAAATATTGCTCCTCGTATTATGTTGGGCAATTCTGAGAGATCAGCAGCTTCATTTGAGACCTCAGAATCTCCTTCTCACAAGAAGTTTGCAGGTGTCGTTTGGCAAGATCTATTATGATATCCGGTCTGAGTATCTTCAGATGGGGCTGAATCGCCCACTAGCTGTAGGACACCAGCAAGTGACATGGAGGCAAACTTTTTTATTATTTTTATTTATTTTGATTGAGTAAGAAGATGGTTTCAAATTCTACTTTCTCTTTTTTTTTTGCTATCCCTGTCCTGCTGGAAATATTTCCCTTCACTTCCTATACTGGAGAAGCCACAGGAAACCTCTACAAAGTAAGGGGAATTGCTGTCTCAGTAAATCATCCAGTGGGAACAAATGTCTCTCACCCCATGTTGGGGCGACCACTATTGAATGTTTGGATTTCCTCCCAATTCCTTGCTGACTATGGTCACAAAGACTAAGCCCTGGCTCACACTGGAGCCGACTTTTTGAAACTGTGCAACTTCAAGTAGAGTTGCACGGTTTCAAAGTCGGATCCAATGTGACTTCATGCACAGATGTCTATGCAAGTCACACCCCAAATCAACAAAAGTAGTGCAGGAATTACTTTTCTAATTGATGCAATTCCGACATGAAAGAAAAAATGTTCATGGAGTTATGCTTTAAGTCATTTGCCTGTGGAGACACTTAAAATAAATCCCTGTATGTATTGGCTAACCCCAGATTTCCTCTTCTACTTCTCAGTGGTCGGTGAGAGAGAGAAACAGAACAGCACAGTCAATGTACGGACCAGAGACAGTACGCAGCATGGGGAGCGCAGCCTACCAGAACTGGTCTCCAGATTATCAGAGCTGTGCGACTCACGGGTCAGGAATGCAGAAGAGATTTTCTAACATTTACTGTTTACAGAGATGCAGATTCTCCAGATTCCTATAAATTCTTTTGATCCAAACATTCTACAGTTCCAAAACACTCAGGCCCTCTGGTATGAACAGACAACAACGCATGAAGATGTTACACTTAAACTGCCACTGACATCTCAGCCTGGTGGTTAATGCACCACCCCTCCTCTTCCAGTGGTCAGAGATTGAAACCGGTGGTGTCACTCCATTAGAAATTTATATATTTACTGTACATCTGATGCCAGTATGCTGATGTATCTATTGCTGTAAATACTATGATAAACAGATTGAGCCTTAAGGTCTGCTTTTTGGTTGTTGTTTTTTTTTTTTAATATTTTTATATCATCGATAAATAAAAATTATGTTCTGTATTTTTTTTTTTTTCCTACGATTTCATCCAAAATTAAACACCACACAGTGGGGGTTATTTACTAAAACCAGAGAGTGCAAAATCTGGTGCAGCTCTGCAGAGAAACCAATCAGCTTCCAGGTTTTATTGTCAAAGCTTAATTGAACAAACTGACGTTAGATGCTGATTGGCTGCCATGTACAGCTGCACCAAATTCTGAGTGCTCCAGTTTTACAAAATCCCCCACTAGTTCATTACTTGTCAGAACTTATATGGCGAGCTCTTTTCCTGCTGCACCCACTCAGTCTCTGCTGTTCCCATGAAAAAGTTGCCATGGCCAGAACTAGGAAGTCCTATATAGAAATTTCACCAGAGAAGGCATTGAGTGATAAAAGGAGCTGGTGGGTGACATTACTTCCCCCACATCTACACTACGCACTAAAACATTAGCAAAAACCTGGAGGAAAAAAAAACTGACCCAAAACAATTAGTTGCCCTTTAATGGCATCCTTATACTTAAAGGGGAAGTTCACCTTTTTTTAAGAACATTTTGCAAAAAAAAAAAAAATTGTATTGATTACTTTTTTTTTTTTCCCCCCTACAGGAGCCTGCACACATTTCCTCCAGCTGAGGAAGTAAGACTGAATTGATTCCCAAGTGCACTGATAGTCCATTGAGCTACAGCCCATCTTCTGCAGTGCTAGAGGGGACTTGTAGTTTATTCATTCATAGATCTCCCACAGAGCTGCACTGATTTTAAATGTGCCAGCATCTGCAGGGGGAAGCTGCATGCTGTCATGGGAAGGTGGAACATATTACACATGACATTATGTACTACCAATAGAAATCACACAGCTAAAAAACCAAGAAAAACAAAAGCAGCTGGCAAAACAATTAGGAGAACTGTGTACAAATAATTATAGATAAATGACTGTGCTAAACACACCTAAGGAATATACAATGCACATCAAAATAAAATGGTATGCAGATAAAGACGTGTATGAAAGTCCAAATGATTTAAAAAAAAGAAATAAAAGTTCCAATGTGTGTGGTTGAAACATAAAGATGAATATGTGTCACTCCCGTCCTTTTGAAATCAAAGGGCAGCACCACCAAAAGAAGCAATGGATGCCTACCAGATCAAATAGACTCTGGTAATGAAGAGAGTCAAAAAGGCATGAAAAAGATCTGGATACCGTTCAATTGTTTTTCCATACCTTAACCACTTGCCCTCTGGAATATTTACCCCCTTTCCTGACCAGGCCATTTTTTGCGATATATGATGCTGCGTTACTTAAATTTAATTTGGGTGAGCGTTGCATGACCACACAATTGTCATTGTCCTTTTTTCCCACAAATAGAGCTTTCTTGCGGTAGTATTTGATCACCTGTGTGTTTATTTTATTTTTTTTCAAAATTGTTGGTCTTTTTTTTGTTTATAGCGCAAAAAAACATTTTTTTTTTACTTTTTGCTATTAAACATGTCCAGTATAAAAAAACTTAAAAAAATAAAAAACCCCACTACGTGTAAATTGGTTTGCGTGAACGTTATAGCGTTTACAAATGGCGGTATACTAGTAATGGTGACGATCAGCGACTTGTAGCAGGACTGCACCAGGTAGTCTGACCCTGGGGGGGGAACTGACTAACTAACCGTTCCTAACCCCGGAAACCACTAAGCAACTTATTCACTCCCTTGTTATCACGCCTTGACTATTGTAACTCCATCCTCATTGGCCGACCTCATCGCAGGCTATCCCCACTCCAGTCCATCATGAATGCTGCTGCCAGACCCATCCACCTTACTATCCCCTCCGTATCCGCCACCCCTCTCTGCCAATCCCTCCACTGGCTCCCAGTTGCCCAAGGGATAAAATTCAAAACTCTGACAATGACATATAAAGCCATCCACAACACTGCCCCAACTTACATCACCAATCTTATCTCTAAATATCACCCAAACCGTACTCTCCGCTCCTTGCAAGACCTCCTACTCTCTAGCTCCCTCATCTCCTCCTCCCATGCTAGTCTCCAGGACTTCGCCAGGGCGTCACCCATCCTCTGGATCTCCCTACCCCAATCTATCAGATTATCACCTACTCTACTTGCCTTTCGGCGATCACTGAAAACCTTTCTCTTCCGGGAAGCCTATCCCGCGCTCTGCTAATTCTGGAATCCTCTACTCTTCCAACCACTCCATCCCCCACAGTGACTACTTACTGTACCATTCACCCTGCCCTCCTAGATTGTAAGCTCCAAGGAGCAGGGCCCTCAAATCCCTCTTGTATTGTTACTGTATTGTCTCCCACTATAATGTAAAGCGCTGAGCAAACCGTTGGCGCTATAGAAGTCCTGTATAATAACTGCCACGGACATCCCCAGTGACACCAATACAGTGATCAGTGCTAATAAAAAGCACTGACACTGTACTAATGGCACTGGGCAGGAAGGGGTTACCATCTGGGGCAAGCAAAGGGTTAACTGTGTGCTGTTTAACATCATGTGCTGTCTATTTATACTAGGGAGACATGCTGCTGTGTATATTTCTCTCGTGCAGAGAAAGGAGACCTGTATTGTTTACACACAGGTCTCTCCCCTGTCGGCGATCGCCGGGTGCTGGTGGAGAATCTCTGGCCAGGACGCGATGATTGACATCTGTAGTCGCCAATGGCGGCGCCTGCCCAGAAATGCAAAATCACATATATATAGCAATTTATGACACTTAATTTACTTCATATCAAGCATGAAGATCCTACACCGTCCAGCATATGTCTGATCTATAATATGGAGCTAGGTAGCTTCCATGCATGCAATAATGTGAGTTAAGATCTATACCCGTGCTCCCCTATTAATGGGGGGAAGAAAAGCTCCTCTGTACCCCTGCTCCCCTATTAATGGGGGGAAGAAAAGCTCCTCTGTACCCCTGCTCCCCTATTAATGGGGGGAAGAAAAAAGCTCCTCTGTACCCCTGCTCCCCTATTAATGGGGGGAAGAAAAGCTCCTCTGTACCCCTGCTCCCCTATTAATGACGGGAAGAAAAGCTCCTCTATAACCTGTGCTTTCATATTAATGACGGAAAGAAGCTTCTCTCCCAGCCAAAATAACTTCCCTTGAAATACAGTTTACTGGATGGTTTCTGATTTGGCTGATAAAACACTTTTGATCTTACATGAAAAGACTTCTTGTCCTTACTAACAATTGAGGTCACTATAGTGTTTACCAGGTAATCAAGTCATCCTTTCACCATATAATACCCCCTTGAGTCTAATTACCATCAACAAATATTTCTGGTATGGTCCTCACATATACAATGTACCCTTTTGGAATGTCTAATTAGATAATAAGGGATACTCCCCAAATACCAAGGTGATCTTGCTAAAAATTAACATAGAAAAGAGTTCTTTTGATGTGTAAAGTGGTGTTTTCACTGACCAGTCCCAGAATGAACCACATGCGTTTCTATATATATATTACACACAATATACTACAGATTGCCCTGATCCCCCTGTAGCAGTAGTTCTGATATAGGACAGTTGGAAAACGGTTAATATGGAATCTCCTTTTCCATTCACCTCCAGCATATCTCACATTTTTCCAATGATGTCATTCCTATATATATATAAAAACAAGGTAGGAAGACATACATAGGAGGAAACCATCTGACTAGTTTATTAAAATCCAGTAAATGCGCTCACATGTTGGAAGTGAAAAAGCACTTTGTAAACACCCACAATGGTCCCGGGATTTCAAGAGGACGGGGTGACACATTCATTTCTACACTTCAACCACACACATTGGAACTTTTATTTCTTTTTAATCATTTGGACTTTCTAATGCATACCATGTTATTTTGCTGTATGTATTGCACATTACACCCCATATACAGATGGAACATGTTCTAAAGGTGAACTAAGGCTGGCTATAGGCTGTCTAGTTGCAGGAAAGAAATGTGCCCAGTGCTGACAGGGGAATCTCTCCCGCAGAGCCATTGTGTTCTCCTGGCAGGGGAAGCTGTCTTTGCAGGGAGAATACTGTGATTGTCAGCGAATATCTGGCAGGCTGATCGATCAACTTGGCTACATTCAGCCTGCCCCTACCTGGTTCGAATCTCAGCCGATTCCTGCCAAACCAGCTGAAATTCGAAAAGTCTACAGCCAGCTTTAGCATTGAGCCTGGGTTCACATAGATGCGGTGTGGAATAACCGCACCGCATTCCTGTGTGAATTGTGTGCGGTGTGATTGGAGCCATACATTATGTATGGCTCTAATCGCACTGCACCCGCACCAAAAACGTGCAGGACCCTTTTTTTTTTTGGGTCCGCACCAGAATCGAATTACATGGGTATTCACACCCATGCGTTCCGATTCGGCACATCGCACCACGTTTTGCGGACCAATTTTGGGTTGTTGTTAACTTAGCATACACCTCCGCAGCCGTTCGCATGAACGGGCTACCATTCTGAAAACGCTGCAAATTCCGCACCACATCAGTGTGAACCAGGGCTTAATGACAAAAATATGCACACTGAGCCTTTAGTAACTCAGCAGATCAGGTGAGCAGATTATAAACAATCCTTCCTTAGGTTATACAACTGCATTTTTTCATAATGAACATTTACATTTGGAAGGTTTGTGTGCCTCA